CCATATGCTTCGGACATAACCCTAGCTCGCTCTAAGTAAGTGGTCCTATTCGCTAAGTCCATAGCTCGGACATACCTAGCTCGCCTAAGTGACCTAAGCGGTCCTATTCGCTAAGTCCATAGCTCGGACATCCCTAGCTCGCCCAAGTGACCTAAGCAGTCTTACTCGCTAAGTCCATAGCTTGGACATACACAGTTCGTTTACGCAAAAAGCTAAGTATAAATATTGATAGAATAAAGAAGAATACTAATTTAACGAAACACTTAGAAGAAAAAAAAAACACATGAACAAAAGAAAATAACCCCTTTGCTTCTCATTAAAAAAAAAAATGTTACATAAGTTATTACAAGAAGATCCTACACTAAGTTAAGTGCAAAAAATATAAACCTATACTACTTCAGCATTTCGCCCCTTAGAAGAAATGGCGTGGACATCTGCATCCCCTTTTGGCCGAGGAGGCGAACCATTCAGATCCTGGGATACATCATCAATTCCAGTCTCCTCACCATCTTCATCAGCCTTATCAGGGTAAAACTTGTTCATCTAGCTCGAGTCTACTTCCAGCTGCCTCGCCCTCTACCTAGTGAAGATGTTCGACCTTAACTCAAACACGCCTTGGCCAAATCCTCTGTTTAAGAAACTTCCTGCTCCCGAAGCCTCTATAACTCCCCATCCATCTCCTTCACCTTGCTTTCAAGTTCCTTATTCTTATTGAGCAAGTCCCAACTCTCCTCTCTCAGCTTATCTATTTTAGCTTCCCGAGCAGTGATCTCTGCTTTATGCTGGGCCTCCTGTTCCTTCATGGAGACTTCAGCATCCTTCAAGGCATCCTCCATCTGGTTCTTCACCTCCATCTCGGTATATCTCGCCTTTAACTTAGATATCCGGGAAAAGTACATTTTGTTGGCATTTATAGCTTGGAATAAACATTGATTCAATAGGTCCCGCATTGCCACATCGTCCAGATGGTCATAGTAACGAGTATCGATAGGGAAAAGACAGTTCCGAGAAATTTCTCGACTAGGCCCTTCCTCTTGAAGGCTGCAGTTTGCCCCATATTTCTACATGAAGTAGGCTCGGATGTTCAAAGGCCTTAAAAGAACAAGAGGGGGAGTTGGGATAGGTGCTTCCCTTTATCTTTTTCTAGAGGGCTCAACCGTTGGGCTTAAAGGAGGCAGCTTAGATTGGGGGGCCCCTGTAGAAGTATCAACTCCGGTTGGTTGGGTATCTGGTACCACTGAAGGTACCTCTTTGCCCGAACCCTCCGTTGCAGCTTTCTTCTTCATTGCTTCAGCAACCTTGGCCATCTTAGAGCTCTTAGATTTCTTTGGAGCCATTTCTGCGCAAAGACAAGAAAGGAAAATTAAGATGTGTTAGTTTAAAGAACCAAGAGCAAAATGGATAAGAACAAAGCTTACCATGGATGGAAGGGTTGGGTCTCATGGGTCCACTAGACGAACATGTTGGATAACCCTCGGCTATCACCTGCCTTAAGTTCACACAAACTAGCCCCCTGGCTTTTATTAACTCTGCACAAGTTCGATTATAAGGGGTGGGTGAAGCTGGAAGATGGCGAAGCGAATCCTCAGACCAACAGTTTGGTATTTTGAACCCCCAGGGTGCTTAACGATGAAATATTTAGATTTCCAATTTTTCAGAAAGGAAATCTTAGACTTTTTAGCAAAAATATCATAATTGTTCTTCGCCTGGAGGAAGCAATGATCTTCATTTGGATGAACGGGAAAGTGGTACAGATCCTGAAATGTCCGGGCTATCATGTTATACTCATCCTGGCGAGCCAATGCTATTATAGCACACAATAACCTGAAGCCATTGGGGTGCAATTGGCTAATGGTAATATTGTACTCACAGAAAAATGATTCAAGGGTTCTGATAAAGGAAACTGAATCCCGATCGGAAGCTCTCCTCATACATTATAATGGAATCCTCGTCCAATGGCTCGATTACTCCCATGCTTTCAGAAGGTCTAATCAGATTGTACTCTAGTGAGAGGTTATATGTAAAACATACATCCAGTAGCTTGCCTTCGTTAATATTAGATGGCACGTCGGCGATCCAGACATACTCTTTTCTTCCTCTAGCTTTGCACCACCCCCGAATCCATGTCTTTGGTAAGTTCATCATCAGACTAATCGTGTAGCACTTGGACATCCTTATCACCAGAGGAACCCATGACCCCGACCAATAAAATGAAAAAAGGAAAGAGAAAAGTAAAATTAACTTACTTGCAAGAAGGTAGAGAGAGAAACAGTTTTAGAGAGAGATGCTCTGAAGGTCAGTCGTTGAGAAGTGAAGCAAATAAAGTGAAAGAGGGGCCTTATATAGACCAAGCGAGACACTGAAAGGTCACCCCATTTAATGAGGCAACTCTTTAAGTACCCTCCCCTCTCAGACCGATGCCTCATTCCCCACAAAATAAAACTATCACAATAGCCTTTACAACAAACGACACGATAAAAGCTTGCCAATAAATAATAATAGATAAGTATACACATAAATAATGAAATAAGCAGACAATAAAGGAGCATAAACACTACATTTGGACATAAAATGACCAAGCAAATGATGGGGGATTGCTGTTAACATATATTAATGAAATATATTAAAATAATAAAATTAGAATCCTAAATAAACTCAAATTAACAAATAATATAGGATTCATAATCCTTATCTTAATACAACCACCCAGAATTCAGTATATATACTCCAACTTTACCCCATTAAAGGGTTAATTTCACAATTTACTACACCTCAAATTTTGAGAGCTTAACACTTAGCAAGAATTTTGATAATAAATATTGAGCAAGAATCTTGGGCATTAATTACGTAATTAAATGACTCTTAATAACTCTTTGATCGAGCGTTACCTCTATTTAAACTAGTTTGAGTAACGCTCGGTCCATTCTATTAATTGCTCAGCACATTCTATTAACTGCTCGACATATTCTGCTCTGACTATTCTGTTGTTCGGCACATTCTGCTCGGACTATTCTGTTGCTTGACGCATTCTGCTCGGACTATTCTATTGCTCATCCCATTATGTTGATTACTCATCCTATTTTGTTGATCGCTCATACCAATCTAGTGCTCATTTCATTCTATTGATTGCTCAGCCCATTTTATCAATTGCTCCTAATAAAAGTCCCCCCAAAATATACCGAATGATTTTTTTTTCGGTTGAAATCTTTAACATGCTTATTCATCCCACTTTTTTGTTCATCCCATTTTTTGTTTTCCCCATTTCTTTTCAATTGACTCTTCTTAATCTATTTTGGTCGAACACTTGTAACTCTTCCACGTGTGCTCTAATTGTCGGTTGCTTTTTTGAAAGTTATGCATCTTTTCAGTTTCAATCGTTGATTCAGGCATCATCTTTAATTGATGTGACTTTTGGAGCTTGCGCGAATAGAAGTGGTTAATTCTATCAATAACATGTAGCCTGATTTTCAAGCATGATCAAATCAAGATGGACAAAACTTGGATCCAAATTAGATTGGGCAAGACAATTACCTCAACAACCATTTTTTATGTTCCCCAGGTTGAAGGGGATTTCATCTATATTTCATCTAATGAAAAATTTTTTTTTTTTTCTCAAGGCCTTTGATTTTGAGTTCTCTAACTCATTTCTATCCTGAGCATTTTTAGGCTCGCAATGTGTTGTTATGTACATTGTTTGTAAGGTAATTTTGTCACTAAATAGAAAGCAAAATATTTTATGATTTCTGGAATCCGTTTGGAATAAATAAATCATGGTTGTAGAATTCATTTTTAAATGAATTCCAAATAGAATTCAATATTATTTTGCTTCTGTCTGCTCTCTTTTTGATTTCTCTTTTTGTCTTTAGCCTTTAATTGCATCTTCTTGGTAAGTAATTTACTATGTACTCTCTTGATTATCTACTTTGAATTTCGTTTATCAAGGTTGTAATTTGTGTTTGATTATTTGTAAATTCTCATTATTTTGGTAGGTAATTTGGAAAGTTTGGAGTGTAGGATTTCATTTCTAAAGAAATTACATGTTGTTGATAGCAGAGAAAGCAAAATCCAGTTTTTAGATGAATTATCTACTTTGAATATGAGATGTAGGCAAAATTTAATATTTAGTGCTTCATTATCTAGATTACCTTCCTTTTTTTTTTTTTTTTTTTTTTTTAATGTTGTTGATAGCAGAGAACAGCAAAATCCAGTTTTTAGATGAAAATTATCTACTTTGAATATGAGAATGTAGGCAAATTAATTTTTAGTTGCTTCATTTATCTAGATTACCCTTCCTTTTTTTTTTTTTTTTTTCTTTATTGACTTGGGTTAAGAAGAAGAGCTTTTGTATGTGGAGGAAAGAGGTTTTGGGAGCTCCTGAGAGGCTGTTTTTTTTTTTTTTTTTTTTTTTTGACTTGGTTAAGAAGAAGAGCTTTGTATTGTGGAGGAAAGAGGATTTTGGGAGCCCTGAGAGGTTGCCATGGTCTTGAAGGAAATACACTCTTCAATTATTTGACTGTAGTGTGCGAAAGGGACTATAGGAAAGCTTGAGGTTTTTGTGCATTTGGCAATTTTCCAGGTTTAATTTTGTCTTCTTTTGATGTTAAATTAAAATTGAATAATGAAATTGATTGATTTTGTGCTTTTAAATAGACAATTAAAAATTTTAATTTATATATCTATTAAGATTTAATATTTCATCATTATAAGGTTCCATTATAATTTAAAAATTTTTAAGTAATAGATAGATAAGAAAAATGAGTATATATAAATTTTGTCAATTAATAAAATTAAAAACTTTAAATATATTTTTATCGATTTATAAATTAATTTAAAAAAATAGAAAAAGCAAAGCCTTTCCTCCTTAAGTTATTTTAATATCACCACGTTCCACTCATTTTATTTTATTTGAGTTTATTTGTAACTAATATTAATTGATGTCATAGGAGATTTCTTGGCTTGGTCAATTCAAGAAATAAAATATATTGTTGAGAAAGAGAATATATTGTAAATAGAATTGAATTCGAACAAGCAAATATTAACCTGAGTTTCGCGTTTCGGGTGAGCGCAGGCGCAGCACGCGATCACTTCTTCTTTCTTCCTTTCTGCAACACATGTGTCTTCTTTTCTTGTTTTATAGTGGCAATCACAAACAATTTAAAAACTAAAACGCAATTCAAATTCTGCCTAACTCATTTTCATTCTCCAGGTAATCAGTGAGTAATTTCAATGTCAAGAAACTATCTTTAACTGCAACCTTCTCTTTCCATTTCCATCTGGAATTTCTAACTCTCAATTTTTATCAAGAATGCATTAGTGAGTAAACCTTATGGTCTTTCTGTTGCAGATATATTGCAGAAAGCGGAGGAAATGGAAAGGGCCAACGATCAGCACATTACCAAAGTTCTCTTTTGTGGCCCCCATTTTCCTGCTTCCCACATTTACACTAAAGAATACCTGCAAAGCTATCCTTTTATCCAGGTGTTATTTTATTTCATATATTTTTTGAGTTTAGCACCAAATGAAATTAAATAGGAACCAATTTGAGTAAACTTTTATGTATTGAGATGCTATTATTGCAAGTCTTGTAGGTTGATGTTGCTCAGATCAGTGATGTGCCTGATGTTATTGGAAATTACCATATTTGTGTTAGCAAAACTGTGAGGCTAGATTCTACTGTTATATCTCGTGCTTCCCAGATGAAGCTCATAATGCAGTTTGGTGTTGGCCTAGATGGTAATTGTTAATTTTTCATTTTGTATGATAATTTTGAGATTTGGTATTTAATCTTACCAATGAAAAATTGATTGGCTTTGGTAAATTTCTGCTTAAAGGGATTGATATTGATGCTGCTACAAGGCTTGGAATAAAAGTTGCTAGAATTCCTGGTGTCAATACTGGAAATGCAGCATCTTGTGCTGAAATGGCTATATATCTAATGTTGGGCCTACTTCGAAAGCAGGTTGGTTTGTTTAATCTAGGAAAGCGTAAAAAATATTTAAGTTCAGTTTGTTGTCATGTGATCGTCTGACAAAATAAATTAAGGGATATTTTGTGGTCTAACAAAGATTTTACTTCTTTTGCAATTTTTAATGATGGATGTTAAACCTCGATGACACGAAATGGAAAAAGAAGCAAGTGCAAAATGTTTTATTGTACCACTCCATTTTTTATATGCATCAGACTCTCAGCAGTGAAATTGTAATTGTCGACATTTCCCTTTTTATGATATTAAGTTTCTAGAATGATGAGCTTCTACTGATTCTTAACATGTTGAAGTGTCCCTTATATTCTATTCCAGAAGTTAACATGTTTGCCAGGGAACTCTGACTTTATCTCCTATCGATATTCATCCATTTTTATGATGAACTGATAATTTATCACACTGAAATTCTATTGGAAGTTGATGGTTAACCTGAATGTAGTTTTGATTGTTGTTTCTAATTTGTTGCTTCAACCATGTTATTTTCATCCATATTTTTGCAAAGTTTTGAACAAGGCTCGGGCCTGAATGAAAGCCTGAACATTTTGGATTATTCTGTTTCTAATTTTCTCATCTGGTCATTTTTCAGGGTGATTTCATTCCTGCTAGGCAATAGTATGTTCTTGATGTAGATTTGGTCAAGATTGTTCGTTGATCTTTGTTTTTCCGTCTTACTTTGTTTGGGTTTGCATGCGTCTTCTTTCCATCTATGCATCACATAAATATTCTTTCACATCTCTGCACCTCAGTATGCTCAATTTGATTGTTTCCTTGACTTCCAGCAGCAATTTATTATGCACTCATGCTAATGTGTTATGGTGCAGAATGAAATGCAAGTTTCTATAAAGCAGAAGAAGCTTGGAGAACCAATTGGCCAAACTTTGTTGGGCAAGACAGTAAGTGCAGATGTTCCTTATTTGTTGATGGAACCTCTTTCTGATTTCTCTCAAACCTTTATCTAAGATGCAACTCAGTTACTATCAATTTCACTAACAATCGTAATAATTTCCTGATGTATTGGTGTCGCTTATCTCGTGAGTCTCTCTCTCCCCTTCCTTCCCTCTCTCTTTTCCTTTTTTTTTTTCCCAGGATAGGTTGGTGGCTGGACAAGTGTTTGCAGGTGTTATCATATGTAGAAGGGGGTTAGAAGTTAGAACATCCCTATTTTAGTTACTTAGTCCTACACTAATATGATATTCTTATCAAAGTGTCATGATTGTTGGACATATTTTAATCAGAAAAATGGACATATTTTAATCAGAACTTTTTCTTTACCATTTCATATCCTATTCATTATTTGAGATGTTATAACCACTTTTCTTGTGCAGGTATTCATATTAGGATTTGGAAACATAGGGATTGAGTTGGCAAAGCGCTTGCGACCATTTGGCGTAAAAATTATTGCCACAAAAAGGAGTTGGACATCAAATTTACAAGTTCCTAATCAACCAAATGGTACTTAATCATTTGCTATAACATAGCAAATTTGTTTCTAGAGACATTTCATTACCTCTTTTATACGTTCAGGGGTCCCCATTGAGAGTGGTGTCAATGATGATTTAGTAGATGAGAGGGGCAGTCAGGGAGATATTTATGAGTTTGCTGGCAAAGCTGATATAGTTGTTTGCTGCTTGCTTATGAATAAAGATACAGTATGACTCTGCTCCTTCTGTTACTTTTAATAATATTATTTGTAAGATATTCTGTGTGTGCATATGTCTGAGTTGCATCAATGGCTGGTCAGTAGACATGGAGTTCACTCATTTGTACTTGTTGCTGCTATGAATTCTTAATAAAACATAGTTATAGTGAGTGCATGGCAACAAATATTTAATTGGTCTACTTGTCCATCTAAAAACTTCATCCAACAAATTCTTAATAAAACATAGTTACATCTCATTATAATTGAAAATGATTCTACTTTTATCTGTCTATTATCTATCTGTCTGCGAGTAATTACATGAAATATTAGACACAGGGCATATTAACTTTTAGGCAGTCAAAGTTCTATGTAAAACGAAACACAGAAGGTGCAAAATGTTTGCCCTTAATGTTGTCTTTTTTTATTCTATATGCCTCAGTTTCTTCTGCTAGAATAGGGAGAATAAAGAAGAGGGAATTATGATAAAATAAACCTCTCTGTGGGCCAAGACACCCTTCAGAAGCAGAACACCTTGGTCAAGTGAGAAAAAAATTTCATCCAATGAAAATTATTGAAAAAGGCATTGATCTTTGAAATTAATGATAATTCTTTGGAGCCAATTACATGAAATGTGGCAGCAAAACATCACCCACCAAACCCTCCCCAAATTACATGAAAATTGGCAGCAAAACATCACCGCACAAGACCTCCCCCCCCCCGCTGCCAACACAAAAAAAAAAAAAAAAAAAACAAAAAAAAAAAAAAAAAAAAAAAACCAAAAAACGAAAAAACTAAAAAAAAGAACAAAAATTCTTAGCTTCTTTTTATTATTATTTCTATATTTGTAGGCTCAGCGATTCACCTTCTAACCAAAATTTTGATTTTTGACTTTCAGGCAGGAATTGTAAACAAATTGTTCATTTCTTCAATGAGAAAGGTTTGTTTCCCATGAGATACACATGCAAGAATATATATTTTTTGTTCGTAGTGCTGAACCGTCTTTTTAGGACCTGGATACTTTTTGCAAACATGCATAACTGTAATGGAAAAATTAAGTGGGATTACCTTTAGCAAATGGTTCATTTGTAGGTTACTTAGGAAATGGTATTTTTAATACATGCTGATCTGTATTGAAATTAAATGTGAGTCTATTTAGTATTGAAGTAAATGTGAGTCTATTTACTCTTTTTTTACAAATAGTACCGGAATAAACTATGTCAACTTACTAGTTGATATGCTAGGAGAGGCATTGTTCATGCAGCATTTTACGGTCTCGGTTTGCTTAGGAAATCATGCAGTCACTTGTGTACGGTGTTTACATGCTCACATGTGCACACTTGCTTGCAAAGTTCGACTGGATGTTGGAAGACTTGCTTTCTTCCTCGAGGCTTTCGAAACATTAGCTTATTGGTTGCACTTGCAAGTTACAACAATGATGGGGACTTTGTTTTTCACTGCTAGCACTGGACCTGAACTAATGTTTTACTAAGAATCTCCTATGTTGGTTTTAAGCTTCGGGATAAACTTTGGATTGCTTGGTTTTTTTCATGGCTGCATTGTCTGCTAGACTTATTTGATATCATGGTGGCGGCAGGTCTCATAGTCATGCCTTCTGCACCATAGGCTGCTTTCGGAAAACTGTCTGCAATAGTCAAGGCTTAGCAAACCATGAACCATGGTTTCTTTTAAGAAACCAGAATAGAGTATGAAAAGCAATTCCTAGCTTGATCCAGTATGGCCTACATAACACCAGGAAAAGATTTCTGGTTTTGCTGCTATGTTGTTTCTTTTCTTTGGAATTCTTAAGTTCAACTGCAGGATAGAGACTAAATCCAATGACATACTTATCCTTTAACCCTTCTTTGTGTGATATTAACACAACTCTCTTGACTAAAGTTAGGTGAAAATCAAATGTAAATACTAGATATGCCACCATTATGCTCATCATGTGTTAAAGGTATGGTTGATTCAATGCACTATTGGCAACATTGAGATATGGACACCCTATAATCCATGCCTGAATGAGTCACTGAAATATCCTTCCTAAGCTCCTATAAGAATAAGAAGCATCTCCTGCTTTTCAAATATATTCTTCATTCATTATCTCCAAGATCAAATCTTTGAACTCTCTAGGCTTTGTTCTCGGGAAGAGTCGATGGATTGCTCTCACTTTGTGGGATTTCTTAAAAGTAGATCTGATCGCACTTGCACAAATAGATCCATTTGATTGATCACAAGTAGTGCAAATCACTTTTTTTAGGCCTAAAAACTCCTATGAAGTGCAAATCGCAATGAGTTTTCCAGTAAATTGATGAAACTACTATACCTTAAATTAAATTCGTTCAGTGTGGGTTTGGAAACATCAAGGAGCCCTTTGGGGCAGAGGAGTGGGTTGGGGTTATCCATTTAACTTTTATGATGAATTAATTTAGAAATTTTATTGCAATGAATTCTGTAACTCGCTTTAAATTCTTGCTGTGTTTTAGCATGTTGTTCGAGTGGTTATGTTTATGGATGATTGATGTGTCTGTCTTCTTTCAGGGTGCTCTCTTGGTAAATATTGCTCGAGGAGGTCTCCTAGACTATGAGGCTGTTGCACAGAACCTTAAGTCCGGTCACTTGGGAGGCTTAGGCATTGATGTTGCTTGGACTGAGCCGTTTGATCCTGACGATCCAATTCTAAAGTATGACAATGTTCTAATCACTCCTCATGTTGCTGGTGTAACAGAAAATTCTTACAGATCCATGGCGAAGGTATGATGAAAAGATTTCCTTAGTTTTAAGTTAATATTAAATAAGAGTTTGCTACTTGGTTTTTAACATTGAATCCTGAAGATTTAGGAAAATTTCAACCTTTTAAACTAATTCTAAATCTTCTAATTTTGATTTACATCTTTGGCCATCTTTTTTTTTTTTTTTTTTCCATTTACTAGAGCTGTATTCTGCCAAAAATGAAAATAGACCTACAATTTTCTAGTCTAAAAATCCCTGACTCTTAGGGCTAAAGCAATTCTTAGCTGTTGTTGAACCCTAAGTGATGCAAAAAACATATTGCCAATGAAGAAAAGCTTTATTTATCTCTATTATCTATTTCTGCTAAATGCTAATTTCATAATTACAGGTTGTTGGAGATGTTGCACTTCAACTTCATGCAGGCACTCCTTGGACAGGCATAGAGATTGTTAACTGATTCATTATGTAATTCTTATGATTTTCATAGAGTTTTGACCTTCATTCAATGTTTAAAGGCACTTACAAGATTTCCTCAAAAAAAAAAAAAAAAAAAAAAAAAAAAACAAGAGTTCTCAAAAAAAAAAAAAAAAAAAAAAAAAAAAAGAAAAGGAGAACAGGTAACATCGCATGTGTGCTTCATAGTTAGGGTCTAAGATTTTTATTGCGGTTATAGTCTACTTCTCTTAAAAAAAAAAAAAAAAAAAAAAAAAAAAAGGAGAAAGGTACATCGCGATGTGTGCTTCATAGTTAGGTCTAAATTTTTATTGCTGTTTAGTCTACTTTTTTTCTCTCCTTATTTTAGCCAGGCATAGCCTTTTGTTTAAGTTGCTTTACTTCATGCAAAGTTCCTCTACTGCACGCAATCAAATTAGTTCTTGGTATGACATTGATCATTTTTTTATTTAACACTAAAAGGCTTTACTAATTAGATATGATGGAAAGTGCTGTGTTTATATTTGACTCTGAAAGATTATAATAATTAGACATGATCCAAAGTACTTACAGACAGGGCATATAAGCTTCTCCACCAAATGAAGATCATCTTCCCTGTTTGTAGCTCTGCCTAAATTTTCTTCGGTTGACAATACAGACTTTGTAAGTTGACAATAAAGCACCTGAAGTTCGGAAATATAGAACTCCAAATCTTTCTAAGACATACTCTATTGAACTGAAATCTCATAAAATCTATTATACACAAAGGTAACCTGCACAAATATTCAAAGTGAGAATCTAAACCAATTAGTTGGTTTCAGTGAAGTCTGCATCAATAACATCCCCATCATCACTTTTTCTAGTTGATTTCGACTGACCAGCCTCTGTCCCCTGCTGATTGTAAAGAAACTGCCCTAATTGCATGACTTCTTGGTTCAGAACAGCCATTGCATCTTTAATAGTTTGAGTTGACCCTCCTGAGATTGCATCCTTGAGGTGCTTCAGCTTAGCCTCCACTTTCTCCTTAACCGAGAGTGGTACTTTCTGGCCCAGCTCCTTCAACTGCCTTTCAGTCTGGTAAACAACAGTCTCTGCCTGGTTTTTAGTGTCGATAGCATCCCTTTTCGCTTTGTCCTCCTTTGCAAATTTTTCTGCTTCCCTCACCATCCTTTCCACCTGCAAGCATTTATTTAGCCATAGCAGAAGAAACTATCATTAGAATTTCATCAAGAAGTTGAAATATCAGCTCATTTTTTTTTTGGTATGTCTCAATATACTAATTAACAGATTGCGATTCAATGTTAGGGTAAGCTGCAACACAATACATTGTAACCCTACTGCACAACGAAGTTTCTGAAAATTTTTGTTGGATCAGTATATTCTCAGTATATTCTCCAAGCACATACCTCATCGCTAGGCAGAGTGCTAGCGCCAGAAATAGTGATATCCTGTTTTTTTCCAGTTCCCTTATCAACAGCAGTAACAGAGAGGATACCGTTGGCATCAATGTCAAACTTAACTTCAATTTGAGGAACTCCTTGCGGAGCAGGAGGGATACCCTCCAATCGGAAGCTTCCAAGAAGTTTGTTGTCGCTCACGAATTCTCTTTCCCCCTGGTAAACATTAATCTCAACACTTGTCTGCCCATCTGCAGCAGTAGTGAACACCTCTATTTTGGAGGTAGGTATGGTTGTATTTCGTGGAATGATCTTCGTCATTACGCCACCCCTAGTTTCTAGCCCTAATGAGAGTGGTGTCACGTCTAGAAGCACAATTTCACTCACTTCTCCAGCCAGAACAGCAGCCTGCAATTCAAATCATGAATATGAAACCATCGTGAATATGATGTTATAGACCAGTAAGAGTTCTGAAGTTGTCTCCAGGATTTTTTACGAGTCACGCCCCCGATTAGAGCCTAGCTAACAGAAAATAAATGATACTATAAGGATTACCTAAAGAAAAACATGGAAGAATAACAACTAGGAAAAACAACCTGAACTGCGGCTCCGAGTGCAACGACTTCATCAGGATTGACTGTTACATTAGGTTCTTTTCCAATCATTTTCCTCACCAGATTCTGAACAGCCGGGATTCGTGTTGAACCGCCTACGAGGATGACTTCATCTATATCTTTCACAGAAAGGTTTGCATCTTTCAAGGCATTTTTAACTGGAGCTTGTAGTCTTCACAACAATACAATGGAGACATTACTTACTAAGCTTAAAACCAAAAACAAATACTAGTTTTTCTTTTCTTTGTCCAAGATCACTACTTCCCTGTCTACCTTCGAAAGGGGGAGAAAAAAAAAAACCTACCTATCCAACAAATCTCCAGACAACTCTTCAAACTTAGCTCTCGTAAGAGCCACATCAATGTGTTTAGGGCCATCTGCAGTAGCAGTAATGAAAGGCAAACTGGAAATTTAACCGCAAAAATTTATCAGTCGCATAATGAGAGGAAGATACACAGTCAACACTCAAGAGCAGATGTACAATTAAGATATACACCTAATATTGGTCTGGCTCAAAGATGACAACTCTATTTTCGCTTTCTCAGCAGCCTCCATTAGACGCTGAAGAGCTTGTTTGTCTTTCAGAAGATCAATTGCTTCATCTCGCTTAAAGATTTCAGCTAGCCACTCAACAATTCTCTGTTAAAGGTTATGAATATCAAACTCATTACTCATTGTCAATCTATCTGTAACAAAAAAGATATGGAAAATGCAAAATTCGTACTTACCCTGTCAAAATCATCGCCACCTAAGTGTGTATCACCTGATGTAGAAAGAACTTCAAATACTCCATCTCCAACCTCAAGAACTGTAGAGGAAAATTTTATAATTGATAATTTATAATTATAAATGTGTCTAATATTCAAGTGTTATGCCACTACAATTATCATAGCAACCATGATGTCTAGCATTATTACAGTGGTAACTTGGTGCATGATCTAACATTGAATTAGAAAGTAAATATGGGCAAGAACAGAGCAATTTGGGTACCTGAAACATCAAAAGTGCCGCCGCCAAGGTCAAATACTAAAATGGTTTCATTGTTCTTTTTCTCAAACCCATAAGCTAATGCAGCTGCAGTAGGTTCATTGATTATCCTTAGAGCTTCTATACCAGCAATATAAGCTGCATCTTTGGTCGCTGTTCGCTGGGAATCATTGAAATATGCTGGAACTGTAATCACAGCTTTACGAACTTTATCATTCAGGAATTTTGATGCATCATCACTAAGCTTTCTTAGGACCTGATTCAACATATATATATATATAGTGAACTTATTTAAGTTGAGTTTCTAAAGAATAAGAACAGTCTTACATAAAATTCCCATTTCAGAATTACCAAGGCAGAAATCTCCTCAGGAGAAAAATCCTTTCCAAGAGCTGGGCAATTTAGCTTAACATTTCCATTATCATCTTTAACCACCTTATAGGACACTTGCTTAGCCTCTTCTTCAACTTCTTCATACTTTCTTCCAATAAACCTCTTAACAGAAAAATAAGTATTCTCTGGATTTAGTATGGCCTGTCTCTTTGCTACTTGCCCAATCAGCCTATCTCCATTTTAGCTTTACGAACTTTATCATTCAGGAATTTTGATGCATCATCACTAAGCTTTCTTAGGACCTGATTCAACATATATATATATATAGTGAACTTATTTAAGTTGAGTTTCTAAAGAATAAGAACAGTCTTACATAAAATTCCCATTTCAGAATTACCAAGGCAGAAATCTCCTCAGGAGAAAAATCCTTTCCAAGAGCTGGGCAATTTAGCTTAACATTTCCATTATCATCTTTAACCACCTTATAGGACACTTGCTTAGCCTCTTCTTCAACTTCTTCATACTTTCTTCCAATAAACCTCTTAACAGAAAAATAAGTATTCTCTGGATTTAGTATGGCCTGTCTCTTTGCTACTTGCCCAATCAGCCTATCTCCATTTTTTGTAAACGCCACCACAGATGGCGTCGTTCTTTGCCCCTCCGCGTTTGTTACTATTATAGGCTTTCCTCCCTCGTTTGCCGCTACCGCGGAATTTGTTGTCCCTAAGTCGATCCCCACAACTTTCTCACACTTAATTCTTAACGTTCTTGGTCTGTTATAATGAACCTGGCGGTAACTTTTGTTTGGATTCTTGGAAAAATAGGGAATTCCGAGAAACCGGCTTTCCAAGAAACAAGCCATGGTCTTTTTCTACGTATAACTTTGATCCTGGTTTTTTCTGTTTTTAAAAAATTTGACGTGTTAGAGCTTGTTTATTCTTGTTTCTTAAATGGGGTTTCTTGAATGATGGTTGGTTCGTGAAAAGAGAGGGATAGGGCGAAAGTACACGCTCCCAACTTCTCGCAAATTCGAGAAGGTGGTGGTGGAGATTATGCGATCTTTAATGCACTATTGTGCTTATTTCCAGATGGGCGTGTATTATTGCTGAAATCAATCTAAAATAAAATTTATACGTTAAGTCGTTCAATTTCTATATCTAAGGTTTTAAACTCAAGAATTTTGCTTAAAAGAAATGGAGTTTCAACCGTTTCATCCCGACCAATATTAGTTATCAACAAGTACTCTTTAGGAGCAATACACGTGATAATAATTCTATTTTTAATTTCAAATATATTTTAGGAAATAATTATTTATTAACTTTAAAAAAATCTACTTTATAAATTCAATTAATCTAAACTTATTCACAAACTTATATTTATACTTTGATGTATTTTCATAAAACATATCAATTAAATATCCAATTTTTTTCACTTACTCATTTTTCTACCTTATAATTAATTAAACTCTTTTAATTTATTTCTATACATAATTTTTCCTGCAAAATCCTAAAAGCCTTCAATTTGACCTAAATTAATTTGAAAACATTCAATTTCGCCCTTTTAAGTGAAACAAATCAAATAACTTAAATTTTACATTGTATAGAACTTCAATCTAAACTTGCAATCCATTTTTTATTCCCAAAATAACTGAATTATACTTTGTGGCATTCATAGAATTTGTAGCCTCATATATTAGCTTTCAGTTGCATTTTAAATCACCTCAATCCAATATCCACAAGGGGAGCTATGAACAAATTACTAAAGAGAGAAAATATTAGTATATCGGAAATAATTTATCAAGGTTGCTGCTCTCGTATAATTTATATATTCTCTGGTTTATTGAGCCTCTTATATATAAAAAGATAAAATTATATGGATTAATGCAAAAATAATTTTAATTTTTTGGAACTGGTTTCAATTTTTTTATTAACAAATTGAAAAATAAATTTATTTTATTTTAGGTAACCTTTATTTTCACAACCTAACAATATTGAGGAGACTAAAATACCTTTCTAGTATACTTCAGGAACAGGAAGTTGATTACTGAAGAAATACGGATGTATTGATAAATTGACTCTTGTTTTACCTTACTAACGTTCGCCGTCAAGTTTCCAAATGGCGATGTCCGGCAGACTAGGAGGAGGAAGAAGACGGCTACCACCACTGTTACTGAGACACAATAATGATCTTCAAGGCATCACTAGTAACCGATTCTCAATAAGACTTCCCTCTTCTCGTAAAACTTTCCGTTTGATCATAATCAGTCTTGCCTTCATTGCTCTTTTTCCTCCCATTTTCTTCCATTTCAGACTCCGCCACTTCCAACAAGTAAATTTTTCAATCGATCTAAACATATTTTTGCAAATTATGTTATAAATTTCATAAATTTTATAAAGTTTGGTTGTTTGATTGTTCCTTTGTTTGTAGATGCAATTGAGAAGGTGCGGTTGGTTGAGTAATCCGCCTCTTGTTTGTGCACATGGCGGTGATTCGATTAATGCCTTTCCTAACACTGTTAGTATTTTCTTTTCTTCAGGTTTTAATTTTATTTTATTTTTAACCCTTTGATGTTATATTTGGCATTTCATTGTTACTCTTTGCAGATGACTGCGTATAATTTAGCACTTCGTTCGCGAGCAGACTGTATTGAGATTGATGTTTCCCGTTCTTTAGATGGAGCTCTGTTTGCTCTTCATGACAGGTATATTTCGGCTTTTTCTTGTTTTATGAAATTTTTTTATCACCAGTACAAATCATATATTTTCATTGTATATCTGCTGGGTTCTACATTGTTATAGTGCTTTTGTCATATTTATAATAGACCAGGGGCTTTGCAATTTTCATGCTTGAAAATGAGGTTTAACACCTAAATGGGCTAAGCACGTATGGATTAAGAGTTTGAATTTCTATAATTCTGTTATTATGTTAGGGAATAGGTGGGAAAACTCTGAATTAGGATAGAAACTTTGTATTGTCTGTTTGAGCGTAAGAGTGCTCTTTGCAAAATAGCTTAGGGGAATTTGTAGTTAACAGCACCAGATCGGCTTGATACTTGATTGCTAAAGCATAGATTTTATATTTTGACTGAATTTAATTCTATTTTCCTGGAAAATTTTCTATATATGTGGGCTGTAATTTCTAAGCATAGTAATTGTTCAACTATGAATGATCTCTTGGTTGAGGGACGGTGAGGGGGAAAAGAGAAAGGGGGTGGGGGTTAGGAATTACATCAGTTTAAGGAGAATAAGTTCTTGGATTTTAAATGCTGAGGCATTTTTTTGCACATTCATGAACTCATAATGCATAGAAGGGAATCACATAAGCATGTAGCCATTAGTCTATTAGACCACTGTAGTCAACTGGTGAGCTTAACCCCATTGGCCACCGCTGACCACTTACAAACACTGCTGTTTGTCCATTCTTGTGTGTTTTCTGCTTTATTCAGCTATCAATGAAGACTTTATGAAGTTCTTGTAGGTGAAAATGTTATTGTTTCTTCTTTGTCAAGATTTTTATTTTATTTTATTTTATTTTTTACTGTGTGCTCTAAACACTAGAAATTAATCTCAACTTGCTTTTTTCTTACAACCACAAGAAAAGAATGTTTTGCATACATGTTTTGGAAAATGTCAACTGAGAATTATTCATTTTTTGTTTTGCATATAATATTTCCAAGTTTCCTGCAAAAAGAATAAGCATAATAAAAGAATGCTTTGCACTTTTGAACTTCTTTGTTTTACTAACATTGTTTCAGAATGAACTTTTAATGAAATTTGTTTATTCCCTCCTCTCCAAATGGTTGGAAAACCATGTATAGTAACAATCTCTAAAGCTTTTTTTTATTATTATTTTTATTTTCTTACACTTTTGTATTGGACTTTACCTTCATTATCACCATCATAATTTGCTTTAATAATCTAATCATTCAACTAATATAATGCTGTACAGTATTGGCTATCAGCTCCTAAAATTATTACGTTTTTAATCTAGTTCTCAATGTTTAAGACAAGCAAAAGATAATTATACAGCAACTCATAGCTTTCTATTGTCTTCTCTTATTGCATGCCACAATGTAATATGCCTGTGCATCAAGGATCTCTTCATAGTTCACATGTAAAAAATTACCTGCACTCGATTTTTTGTCCATCTCCCTTATAACTACTAGTTTACTGATGCCAACATAAATGTTTAAAACATGATATATCTTGATCTGTCCCTAAAATATGCAAAATAACCATTCCATGTTACCATTCAAATCCTCACAATGACCATGGTCATGTGACTGATGTCGTTGTTAGATTAAAATGAACCTAGGTGGTTCTATGTAAAATTATTTTTACACTGCCTGGAGGCTTGATTTTCTCATGACACAGGTAGGGATTTGCAGCGGATTTCTGGTAATAATACTTCTAAAGTGGGGTACCTAAATATGAAAGAGGTGAGAATTGCTGACTTCGTTACATTGTTAAGTATCTGTAATCACTATTATAAATAAATAACCATTTACTCGAGGATTTAGTTACCACTTTTGGCTTGAAACCAGATATTTCTTCCTTCCTAGTTATTTAACTGTGCCATTATGTCTCTTCAATAACACTGAGTTTATACTAAAATTTTCTTTAGCAAAAATTTGTGCCTTCATTGGCATCAATATAACAAGTAAGATTGTAGTAGTCTTCGACACTTTGTGGGTAATGCTACTTTACAGTTCTGAATAATGGCAACATACCATAGCAATATAACAACTTTTAAAATTTCTAGGCATTTTCTAAGGTTGTAATATAGCTTTTTTGGCTTTAACAATATACGAGTGATGTTGATTGAGACTATCTGTTAGTTTGTGGTTGTAGATTAAAGAACTAAATGTGTCTCACCAGTCTATTGAGGAGTTTCATGCTCAAAAAATCCCAACTATTGAAGATGCTTTGAAGGTATTTTGAGGACTCTCTCTCTCTCTCTCTCTCTCAGGCTGTTTGGAAAGAGTGAAAACCAGGGGAGTGAAAGGGAGGAGATAGAGCTGTATTGAGATTTGTGATTCCACAATCTGGGAATGGTGTAGAAAAGTATGAGAATAGGCAATAAACAGAAGAATAATCTCCAATGCTCACAAAATTATAAATTAAAAAAAAAAAAAAAAAAAAAAAAAAAAAAAAAAAAAAAAAAATATTAAATAAATAAATATATAAAAAAAACTCTCTCCAAATTGAGGGGAAAGTTGGGAAGAATTGCTCTATTTAATTGCGCTTTTACATGAACAGATGACAATTTATATCCTACTACTTTTGTTCTCTATGGAGGAGAAGGTTTATTAATTAATTGATTTAAAAAAAAAAAAAAAAAAAAAAAAAAAAAAAAAAACTCTCTCCAAATTTGAGGGGAAAGTTGGAGAAAATTGCTCATTTAATTGCGCTTTTAAGCACAATGACATTTATATCCTCTACTTTTGTTCTCTACTGGAGGGAGGGAAGGGTATAATAATGATTTCAAATTTTTTCCCTCTAGCTTTTAACTTCCTCATTTTTGCACCACCTTCCAAACAACATTAGAGGGAGAGAGATTCTTTTTTTCCCTGCATTCTTTGCCTCATTTTATTTCTCGGCCTTTTTTTCCCTTTCCCACTTTTTTCCCAAAGAAATTATTGATATTGTATTTCTGATAGATGTGCTTCAGCACTTTATTTTGACACGTTTGGTCTGTCAACTTCTAATATCACTTGAATCAAAATTTATACTCTGTGCACCAATTATCTCTATATATTCTTGCAAAACCTCATTACGAAGTTTTTACTGACTACTGGTTCACATATTCTTTAGTCAGTATCAGGTTCAGTTCGGCAGGTTATTCTAGATGCTAAGGTTGGGCCTCCATCATATGAAAAGGGCCTTGCAAAGGATATTCTTTCTGCTGTGAGTTTTTTTCTCCTTTATCTCTCACACTCTCTCTCTTTTGGATTCCCATTATCTTTTCTCTTTTCATGCATTTTACTCATGCACTATTGTCTTCCTGGTGTTTGCAAACAAAGTGTTTCCTGACTTGACACCCTTGTTTACTTTTTGTATTTCTTGAATGCTCTATCTATGCACTCTGGCAACTATTAAGCAGAGTCCTTTCACGTATTTAGATATCAATGAGTTAAAACATTTGGCTCCAACTGAACGCTTGTGAAAGTTGAAACCAATTTCTCCTGCAATGAGAAGTAGAACAGCTAACTCCTAACAATTTCTCTGAGTGATACAGCTGTTGTTGAGTAGTATGGATGTATTACCAGTGAAACCAAAGTTCCTACAGATGATTTTCAGTGGAACTCTAAATTATTTAAGCATTCTAACTTGATGCACGTAACATTGTTTTTTTTGTCATTGAGTTTTTCAGGTTGCGAAAGCAGAGTGTAAGAATTGCTTGGTTTGGGCTAAAAGTGACAGTTTAGCCAGGGATGTAATCAAACTATCATCTGATGTAACGGTAATTCAGTTTGACTATTTTCATGTCTAAATGGTAATTTTCTTCATGACTTTTCTGATGGGGTAGGGTGTGATTTTTCTTTGCAATAAGTGTATTATTTTTTAATTATGAATGTGAGGGAGTCAAACTTGGGAGTTTTTAATTATCTTGTCTACTGGATAATGTGATTAGGGGTTGGAGGCTTCCTCTGTTGTGTTGTGGTTTTCATGTTTCATTTCATGAAGATAAATGTCTCATGGTATACCTATGAATGTTTACAAGCTGCAGGATAAAGCTCTAATATAACCCTCTGCTGAACTTATGCAAATTTAGGACTTTTTTTGGCTAATATAGTAGTCCACTGGTAGTTTATAGCAGCTATACATTTGAACTTAAAACGCATCACCTGAGTGGATCCTTCACTAAAACAGTGTGTTTGACTATTAATGCTCTATTATTTAAATTCTGACAAGGAACATCGAAACCAGATGTAACAGAACATTTTTCAAAAATTTGGTGACGTCGAGTCTTCATGCAGGTGGGCTATATTGTCATGGTGGATCCCAGTACAGGAATTAGAACAAATTTATTGAGGATGAAGGGAGCTGGGGTGGTCGGTGTTTATCATCCGTTGATCGATGAAAAGATTGTGAGAATTCTGCATGGGTATGGATGGCATAATAAAATCCATGTCAAAATTTTACAGACCAGTTGGTGTGTGTAACCATAACCGTAAACCTGTATTTAGTCCTGACAATTGGTTATCATAACAGGCGAAACAAAAAGGTATATGCTTGGACTGTTGATGATGCGGATTCAATGCGAAGAATGTTGTTCGAGCGTGTAGATGCTGTCATAACAAGTAACCCCAGTCTACTACAACAGCTTATGCATGATATCAGAACTCAATGTCGTGAAGAAGGTTTTTCTTGGCAAAGGTGATACCCATTTTTTTATTTTCCAAGTTTATGGTTATTACAGGATTACTTTATGTGGCCTTCAAGGTTCCATTTGATATTTGGATTCAAGTTCCCTCACGAATTGAGTCTTCCATTTTGTAAACCACTGTTTAATTTAATGTGTATAGTTGGGCAAAAGTTAGTTTTTGGGTCAATCAGAATTTATTTATTTATTTATTAAAATATGGTTCTTCTGGGTAGAAGTCATATGCAAAGAGTGTGAGTATACCCGTAAAAATAAATAAATAAATAAATAACATTACCGAAGCTTCTATTAGGCAGATACTAAACATGTGGTGAAATAGTTTCATTTCAAATTTTCTCTATAATTTCTTCCTCTCTTTATTATAGAATTTAAAGTAAAAGATTTGAAATTAAGTAAATAATAAATTTATTTGTTATGATCAAATATGTAATATAAATAAGACATCTTAGCCTTCATAGAAAAGATGAAAATAATTTTATAATTGCGGTGTGAACTTTGGTTTGGTATGATTTTATTTTTTGCCTATTAAGTATTTGAATTGAGATTTTTTTAATTAAATACATTTGGTTGCATATTTAAAAAAGATAATTTTATTATAAATGACATCAAGCATAAGCATTAATTCAATTCATCTGTTTTTTTATTTTTTATTTCTATTTTATTTTAACTTTTACAGTTTTATATCTATTTTTTGAAAAAAAAATGTTTTTTATAATTTTCTTTTGATCAGTTTTGAAAATCGAATTGGATTGGCTAGTTGGATGGATTAACTCATGAATTGGTTATTAATCTGGTCTGATTTAATAAAAAAACCGAATGGGACAAAAACCGGATTCAACCAATAAAAATTCAATGATATTTCCAATGGTATTTTTGTTAACATATAAACTTAATACGAGCGTTTTAGGAACTCAATATGTTATATGATAAATTAGATATAAATTGAAAATTAAGAAAATTCTAGTTGGTACATTTTAATTTTATGATCAAATTATGCTTCAATCACCATAATTAATTATTTTTATATATCATGTGTTCACATTACCAACAAAAATTATTATTACATCTCTGTATATTAAAATACAACTATTTAAATCATTGTTTTTTTAGAAATGTCTTTTGAAATCTCTGTAATTTCAGTCCATCTCATTTCGTCCCATTTGGCAATTAAGTCAATAGAGACAAAAACACCCTTGTCCTCTTCTCACAGTTTGATTTTCTACCAAACCATTCCTTCTTGATTATTGTCATCGCTAAACATCATCATAAAATTTCTTCACAATTTTAAACCAAAATCAACGAAATATTCAATCAACAAATCAAAATAATAAAAAAAGTAAAATAATATTAAAATAAAATATAATCTAATTTAGAAATAAAAGAAATCTTACGATTTCATGGTAGTAATCATGAAAATCTATAAAATATAAAATTAGCAAACAAAAAGATTTTGTTTTTTAATTTTGTAGATTAAAAAAGTCGTTAACAAAAAATATGAGAAAATAGAAGAAAGGAGAAGGGCATCCACAAATCTGCAAAACTAGTGGAGGGGTATTTGTAAAGAAACTCAAAAATATTTACTAAAAAAAGAAAGAAAAGAAAGACAAAACCCATCTTTGAAATTTGATCTTAAAAATAAGAAAAAATGCAAAAGATACAAAAAATACAATAGCAGTAGAGATCGCAAAATCAACTTGATCCGATGGGTATGCACCCAACTCGAACCCAATCAAACTCAAATTTTAAGATTTTGATTGATTTGAGTAAGGTATAGTAAAATTCGAAAGTTTTATTTTGAATAAGGGTAGGGTGTGGATATTACTATTATAAACCCAAATTCAATCCCGTATCTCAAATTCAAACTCGATCGAACCCTATCCATTGTTATCCCAAAATAGAAATAAGAGCAATGCAGAGTATGGAAAATATCTCATTTCTCCGGCTCTAAACCTTCTTTCCAAAATGCTCTAAATGAATGACTCAAAATTATCCGATCGTTGCGTATAGGTTTACAACGCTTCTTTGAAAAAGAATTGGGATAGAGAGATGAATTAGTATACTCATATTATATTATTTAGTAATATAATAATATATATCATGTGTTCAGACTCAAAATTAGTTTCTTTCATTTGTTCAGCAACACTTCATTCTGTTTCAAAACTCTCAATTCTTTTTTTTTTTTTCTTTCATTCATTCAATCCATACAAAATGAAAATTTGATTAGCTTTTTTATTTTTATAATTGCTTTGCTCTAACATCTCAATTTTCTATCAAAATGAGATAATTTTTCAATTTAATAACATTTTAGTTTTTTAGCTCATTACTAAAATATTATATAAAAAGTATAAAACAATATTACCATTTCTATATAGTTATAGAATGGATTTGTTTTCCATATATTATAATAAATGTTTTTTTCATGACAAACTCATGCATATGATGAAAGAAGTTGATGCTGCATGTTAATGGCAAGGTGCAGTTAAGAAATGGAAAATGAAAAAATAAATATATTTTTGGCATTTGACTAATTTTTTTATAAATCTTGTTCTTAGCTAATTATTTAATTTCAATATTTAACCTAATCCATAATGTATTTTTTGGAAAATGAATTAAATAATTAATATTTTAATTTTATTAATTCTATGAAATTTACTGTAATTAACGAGATTGTTAAAAGATGTTAAATAGTGAAAGGAATAATTAATAGCAACGTTTCTAAAATAGCAATGGTTTATATCTAAAGGAAATACCGAATAAGAAAAGCACAATTTAGATAAATGTTTTTTTTTTTTTTTTTTTTTTTTTTTTTTTAGATAAATGTATTATATTTTTTTTTTTTTTTTTTTTTTTTAACTACTTTGGTTCCAAAAGACCAGCAAGCACTTCGGCAGTACATAATAATTCCCTATGTACAGTTATTCAAATACATCTTTATACTATCTTCTTTACGAATTATTTATGATATCCTATTTGTGGCGAATTGTGATTCAGTGTATCATTCACCAGAAGAAGTGCTTATGTGTCAAGAATTAAGAAAAAGGCATATTTGCTTTAAAGATGGACACGTGTGTTGCCTAGAGCTGTTGTTGGAACAAAAGAAGAATGAGGTTGCTTCGCTATATAATATATATTATATATAGTATATATGTATAATTAATATATATATTATATTGATGCGATATATATATATTGATGCGCTAAAATATTTATATGGAAATAAAAGATAAAGATAATTAGGCTACAAGAAGTAAAGCCGAAGATAAATCTTTACAATTTAAGTAATTTAACGTAGATAATATATAATAAAATGCTAATATTTTCAAAAAAAAAATGCTAATTTTAAAAAATATTTATGTAAAGAAAAAAAAAAGAAAAGCTCAAATATTTATAAAAAAATAAAATATAAAATGCTGAAAAAGAAACGCATCAAGTCAACATTTTTAAAATATTTTTTATTTCGGCATTATATATAAAAGAAAAGTGTTCCTTCTCTAGTCATCAAAATTTAATATTATTGTGCATCATTTTAAAAATATTATTGATGTTTTATACACAAGTAATATGAGTGGATTGATAAGGGACCATTATGGGAGATGGGTGGTTGGTTACACGACTCGGTTGGGGATCTGTTCATCCATGGAGGCAGAATTACAGGCCCTATGCTTAGGTTTAAATCTTGCTTGAGAGCTGGGTATCGAAAGCTGGAGGTGGAAATGGATTCTTTAGTTTCTAAGTGTTTAGTTATATGACGATTTAATATTTCATGTAATAAGTATTTTATTATTAATAAAAATGCATTTATTTATCTTTTATATTCTACTGATTGAATCTTGGTAAAAGATAAAGTAAACAATACTATTTTATAAAATAAATTATAATATGGTTATAATTATGAGTTTTATTTTGTATTAAAGCAATATTTCTAAATACTTCTGGTTAATGTTTGTCTCGTTATTGGATAATGATTAGAGTTGTTGAGACTGATACATATTATATTTTTTCCTTAAAGAAGAGATATATGTGATATCTAGAACTAATATGTAGGTGCTTGTTATTTAAATAAGTCCACTGAATTGACCTGCATGAGAATTTCATACGGAGAATTACCTGTGTCTATGGAATAGTCAAGTGATGGTTGTGTAAGTGATCCTTTGACTTGAAATTATTAAGTTATGTTGTATTGGGATGACTCTGTTTTGATTTTTCGTTCGTATTATTCTTTTATAAATAATAAGTAATGATTTATTGGACATAGTAGAAATTGTATGGAGATACTTGTGTAATTAAGAGAGGTTTCATCACCCTAAGTAAATAAGAAAAAAATATTCTAATTGATTTTTATTAGTTTTGATTAAGAAATCTTTGCGCAAAATAGAATGAAATTAGCAAATTAAATTTGGAAGTTCAATCAAATGATCAATAACTAATATTAAGAAAACTAACATGATTTAGTAAAGCAGACTCACTTCATGTCTAATTACTAAATCAAAACATTAATGATGAAAGGAACATTAATTATACTGATAAATCATGCACTGAAAAGTAAAGTCAAATCACTTTGATTTTTCAAATATTTGGGTAGTCTGAAATATTGCTAGACAATGTACTTAACCTTTAAATATTAATTAATTAATTTAATTTCTAATTGCCTATATATTTGGAACCTAAAAGGTCACACATATAAAAATGGATATGATAAAGTGAAAACGAGAAATTGAATCAAGTATGACTTGATTACAAATTAGTTTTGGGACAGTAAGGGCAAAAAATTGTAATTTATATTTAATTACAATTTTACCTAAATTATTAAGTATTCACTTATTACAATATTTACCTAAAATTATAAGTATTCACTAATTGATTTATGTTCTAGATTATTAAGATAAATTTTAGATTAAATAAATCTTAATATTATTAATTATAATTTATTTATTTTTAAATAGTTAAATAAATAAATAAAATTGATTAAATTGAAAATCCTATTACATATAATGAGTTATATCCGCTTTATTTAAAACTATTTAATAAATAAATAGATATATATTTTAGTGATCCAAATGTATTGCTTTATGTTAAACAGTTTAAACTAAATATCAATCTATATTAGTTTATCTCTCAATGATCTAAGGTTTTTCTATATTTTAAAAAGTTTAAATAAATAATTATAATTTATTTATTTATGATCTAAGGTTTTCATATATAAAATTTAAGATACAGTCTAACTAGCTATTGTTGCTAATAGCCACAAAACTAAACATAAAGCGTATAATAGCTAGCATCATCATACACTCTAATCTCTCAATTCTCTAAAATAGATTTAGAGTTTTTCGATTGTCTATTCGTGTGGATATTACTAGATGTCAGACACTTGGACGGCTTGTGGTTTATGATAATCTAGCCAGCGTAGATCAAAATTTCAAAAGTATTCTTCTAAACAAATTTTAGTACTTTAATCATTTAAACGGATCTCTGTTGGTATATAATATTTTGTTATAATTTTCTCTTTTCATTGCATATTATTGATATTGAAACTGAACGCTAATCAGCTTATATCCTCCAAGATTGACACTCACCTCCAGTTCACGAATGTTCTGTTGCGTATCCGGAACCTCCTTCACCGCCAATGGCTGATTGTCATCAGATATTGCTTTAGGGAAGCTAACCAGGCTATGGATATTCTTGCAAACCTTGCTGTGTTTGGTAATAAATGTAGCTTTGTGCTGCAGGACCCTCCTATGGAAGTTCTTGAAGTTCTCAGATGGAACATGCAGGACGTGGCTTGGCCACGCATTATGGGGCTTTCTTGAGTTTGTTTTGCTTTCTTTGGGGTTTTTATTCCCTTCCCTTCTATAAAAAAAAATAAAAAATAAAAAAAAAAGTGGATGTATTCTTGAGATTTGGAAATAATTAATCTAGTTTCATTGCCCTTGAGTAACGGTCTCTACGGTTTAATTTGAAGATTTACAAATCAAATTAATAACAATTTATAAAAAAATGTATATTGATCAAATTATAAAAAATATTCAAATTTGTTCAATTTAGTTTAATTTGGAAAATGTTTTATCATTGTAAGTGGGTTCAGGTTCACAGCTAAAAATAAATGAATAAATAAATAAAATTAAAATATATAAAATATTGATTTGATTTGATTCTAACACTTTTGATTATAAAACTATTAAATCGAATCGACTCAAAAATTTTACAATCAACTAAATTGTCAATTTAACAAAACCACCATTTGAAATCAATTTGAGTGATTGTCATCTCTAATTTGCTCCATAGATTAGGGGATCCAACATAGATTGAAGTTTTGATTTTTCGTTCATCCTTGTAATAGATTGCTGAAAATATGCCAAAGACCGGCATTGACGGAGCTAGGGAGGTCTAAGGGTGGCCTCCTCCACCCCAACAAAATTTTTTTTTAAGAATTTACCTATAAAATATTAAATTTTTTTTTATTTTACCCCTTAAAATAGTAAATTTTTTCAATTTTCTTGTCCTTTAACTCTTGAAATTTTTTTAGCCCATAATTTTAATTCCTGACTCCGTCACTGAAGATTGGATTCCATTTTTATTGACTTTCAAAATGTTTTACTTGTTCTTTATTTGTCACACCAAAATATTTCTGATGTATGAATTATAGCGGAATATTGTAAGTTTCTTTTGCAAGGTAGAATGGATGTTAATATTAATCGGATTAAAAGACAAGTAAATAGAAGAGCTCATTTTCTAGCATGAGCTTCTTATAACTATGTTAGTTTCCATCATTGGGAGTTTGTTCCCAATTGCTTGATGTCTTATTATTTCTCCCATTTATATATTTGCATTCTCTTAAAAAAAAAAAAAAAAAAAAAAAAAAATTTAAAAAAAAAAACAAAAAAAAAACAAAAAAAAAGAGGATTCGAGTGATTTTGGTAATTTGAAAAAAAAAAAAAAAAAAAAAAAAAAAAAAGAGGATTCGAGTGATTTTGGTAATTGAAAAATTACTCCTTTGTTTCATAGTAGGAATAAAAATTACTCCTATTCTAAAATATAAGTGGAGATTAACAAAGCAACTAATTCTCTTAAATTATTACAAAACTAAAAATAATTTGACCAAATTACTCTTTATCTCACTTTAATTATTTTATCCCTCATCATTATTATATCATATCTAGTCTAAAATAAATAAGGGTAAAATTAAAAGAAAAATAATTTATTAATTTTAAACTTTTATTTGAGACAAAATAATTTATATTTTGGGACGAAAAGGGAAAAATGCAATAAAATATTAAATTGGGGGAAATAGTGGACTTGACATTGTATTTAAAGTAAAATATTTTGAGATCTCTAAATTATAGTCAAATTAACATTTACGTCCTTCTATTATTAACAAATAGCTTTCATGTCTATAATTAGGTCATTCCATATATTTTGATTCAAACTCACCATTAAAAGGATATAAAGTGTCAAAATTAACCTTTATTAAAAAAAAAAAAAAAGGATAATAAGGGATTTAACTATCTTGTCTCTTTTCAGCCCTGCCATTTTTGCAAGGGTTGTCATCGCTATTTGATTCGCGGCGGAACTAATGTTCTTGAACTCGTCAAATTACCTCAGACTGAAAATCATCTCCGCCACTGGCACCACCTTAAACATATTAAGAACACCGACAACCACTCTCTTCAGTTGCAAGAAAGCCATTTCTTCCCCCAAACAAATCCTCGGCCCAGCTTGAAATTTCAGATAAATATATGAATCTCTTCCAACGAAATTCCATTTCTCGTTCACCGCGTCTCTTCCGGCCATTTTTTCGGCTTGATATCCACCCAATCATAGCCCAAAACTTAGCGCTTTTTATATTTCTTTTACGATTTTGTTGTTCTAATGACTCTGTAAAGCTTTGGGTTTTTGTTGGACACATCTATGGCTATGGAAGAAGATAGAAAAACATTAAATTTTTATCTTTTTAATTTTGTTAACTTGCTACTCTAATGGCTTTGTAAAGCTTTTGGAATTTTGCTAGACATATCTATGGCTGTAGAACAAGATAGAAAGAAAAAAAAAAATAAATTTTTATCATTTTACTTTTTAACTTACTGCTCTAATTGCTCTATAAAGCTTTCGGATTTTTGCTGGAACACATCTATGGCTATGGAAGAAGATAGAGAAAACAAAAAAAAAAAAAAAAATTATCTTTTTATTTTTTAACCTATAACGAAGTAGATATCTCTTGTGTTTTGATGCATGAATCTTATTTTTGTAGAAAAATCAGATGCCAAAGGCAGGAAAATTAATTAAAGATTGGATTTTCGAAGAATGAGTTGAACAAGGGCATTTTGGAAAATTGATATATTTCTCTCTCCTTATTTAATATTTTCTTTTGGCGGAATGCATAATTTTCCCTTTGAATTATCCTTAAATTGCCATTTGTGCTCCTCAACTTTGCGGAGGACCGCTTATCCCCTTCGGTTGCGTTTTTTTAACTTTTGTACCCTAAACAAATTGAAAATTTGTGTGAAATACACTCCGTTGACGTACCATAAGCAGTTGATTTGCCATCAATTTATATACCATGTTAGTTTTCAGATGTACAAGAAATAACGAGAAAGAGAAAAAGAGAAAACGAAAAATTAAATAAAAAGAAAAACCTTAACTCCTCTTTACCATAAACTGAAATCCCAAATTGAGAGGAAAATAAAAAATCTCAAGCCTCCACCTTGTTGAAATTCCTTTCTCTCGCAAAATACAATTATGATTTAACTATATTGTTTTTTTCTAGAATTAAAAAAAAAAGAAACATAAGAACATAAAAATAAAATAAATCAAATTTAAAAACACAAACAGATTTTAAACTTCAAATTAAAAAGTGTTTTCTGTGATGAAATCAACGCTAAATCTAAGATAAAATATTTCATAATACCAACAATATAATCTAGAGAATATAAATACCCAAAATCAGATCAAGAAAAAAATACAAATTGAAAAAAAATATCATACACACCTGCATTAATAGTTTTGATTTTATTAACCATAAAATCATTAGAACAGGTTGGTTTGGTTTTGATTATAGAGAAATAGAGGAGGAGGAGAAGAAGAAGAAGAAGAAAAAAAAAAAAAAAAGATTTACAACACCTGCATTAATGTTTTATTTATCTAACCATACAAATCATTAGATAACAGCGTTGGTTTTGTTTCTGCTTATAGAGAAATCAGTAGGGGAGGAGTAAGAAGAAGAAGAAGTACAAAAAAAAAAAAAAACAATTGATAGAACTGATATTAGTTATTTGCAATATGAGAAAAAAAAAAAAAAAAAGAAGAATGAGATAGATCAATAGAGAGAATGAGAAGGAGAAAAATAGATAGAGAAACTGAGAGGAGAAAAAGAAGAAGAGCGAGATAGATCTGTTGAGAGAATGAGAAGGAGAAAAACAGAGAGAGAAACTAAGAGAAAGGATGAGAGATGAAGTCATTATGATTTTAAGAATGTAAAATCATGTCGTTTTTATCACACTGGACAAAATTTAAGCGGTTTACACTCTTATTTGCATTTAGTTCACGTAGTTTTTTACAACATGCTAAGGGGTATAAAAGCTATAAAAAACACAATTTAAAAGGAAAGCGGTCACATAAAGTTGACAAGCACAAATGACATTTTGAAAAAGTTAGGGAAAATTATGTATTCGAGATTTTTTTTTTTTTTGAAAGTTAACGTGAATTTGGGTCAAAATAGATGGAAGGACCTAAATATGACACGAATTGTAATTTAAGGACATGAAAGTTATTTGTTAATAATAGGAGGATATAAGTGTTAATTTGATTATAATTTAGGGATCACAAAATACTTTACTCTTGTATTTATTTGTGGGATCTACCTTTCATTTGAATCTGCGAAACAGAAAGTAATAGCTTCTATCTCCTCTTAACTGCACCTCTCCTTCCTCAGATGACGACTAAATAAAATTCCAGTGTGCCAAAAATAAATAAATAGAATAAATATATTACTAGTAAAAGACAAATTCAAATTCATATTATATTTATTTAGTATTTTTTTTTCTGAGATTTGTGAATCCAAGAAAGGAATCTCTGATCGTTTTCGTAATCTGAGGAGGAGGAGGAGTAGGGAGACAGATAAAATACCAAAAGTTAAATTAATTTGTCTTTTTGAGGATTTAGTGAGGGAAGCTTAAATTGTTTCTTTCTGAATTTTTTTTTGCTATTCCAATTGAAATAAATAACTCGATTTCAGAGAAAGACCAGTGGAAAATTGCTCCATTTTCATGTTAAAATGGCGGTTTCGATGATGGGACTGAATGCTTGGTTTAAGAAGAAGATCCTCGATCCTCTCTACCTAATTCTTAGCAGGTTTTATCTTTTTCCGATCTTTTTCTGTTTCGATAGTTCTATTTTTCCTCTTCAATTGGATTTTGAATATATTGATGCATTAATTTAAAGTTTGATCAACTTGGAATTATTTATGCCTAATGGTTATGTTAATGGATGATTTCTTTTTCTGAATAATATTTCCAGTCTGTTCTGAACATGAAAATTTCAATTGTAGAATAACTTTTTCTCGTGGAGTAATATCTTTCAAGATACTGATTTTTGCGAACTCCGTAATTTTTGAGTGCTTGAGGGTAGAATTTCTCAAAAAAAAGAAAAATTTTCAAAATATTCCTTTGGAGTGATTATACTACCAATTTCTGGGCAGGCCGTAGTTGGTAAGGCTAGGATTGATTTTTCTTTTTATGTTAGGTTGTAGCTGTTTATTGTCGTTTTATTTTTCTGTTCAGAAAAGTTGTTGGTTTAGTAACTATTTGCTGTTTATGCTTTTTGCAGGGGTACAGAGCCAAAGCAACTGGCATTCTCTGCAGCTCTTGGATTTACTCTGGGAATATTTCCGATATGTGGTATGGAATTCTTAAAACCAGTTGAAAGTATTAGTTTATATTATTATTATTATTATTATTATTATTTTAAATCTGAATTGATTAGAAGTTCCAGAAATATTTGTTGGTGAGGTAGTGCTACTGTGCCTCATGTTCTTTGTTGCTTGAACAAACATTTTCTCTGGTTTATTTTTTTTTTTAATTTTTTTTTTTCCTTTCCTCTTTCTGGTGATGGGTTAGTTTCATTGACATGCCTTTCTATGGCCCTTATCGATAGATATGCTTCAGATATTCACCAATTTGGATTAGTTGTTAGGTTTGTAAAGAGACTTCATTTTGAATGTGAAATTGATGAGTTGTTCCATTAGAGTTATGAGCAACTCGATTCCAGGATTAAGCTCTTCTTTAAGTCCTTTCCTTGACAGCTGAAATCATGCAACATATGGAATAGAATCGAAAGTGGAAACTAGGGGGAATCAAAAAGAAAAGTAAGTACTAGTGAAAAGGTTCTTTAATGCTAATTATGAATCCTTAAAGAAAGATTTCATATCATTTCTCTCAAAAGTAAAAACTTGGAAAAGGGATTCCACACACAGGACAGGACTCATGCAAATGAGGACTTTTGTTGGATTACTTCTTATAAATATATTAAGGTTTGATTTTAGTAACAATTGTAGCAGTGAAGTTTATTGTGGTAGCTTCCACTACTTGTGGGCAGGGAATCTTCAGGTCTCATCAGTTTGAAGCTTGATAGCTTCCTTTGCTACTTTGTGCCTGATTTATAATTTCATTGGGGGAATCTATATCACTGTCACAGTGCTCAGTAGAGACCATTCTTTCAGCCATGTTTCTGTAAACGTTTGTCTATTCAAAGTGGTTTATCCTTGAAGTAATTCGGTTTGACATAAATTGAAGAAAATAATTTGCTTGCAATTGGCTTCCAAACACACAGTTCAACAGTAATTTATATTAGCTTTCTAGGATGCAGCTCCTGAGTGCTTTGTTGTTGCACACTTGGTTCAGACGGGGAACCAACATCATGAAAACAGGTAGCTTGCCAAATGGTTGGATAGGTTCTGTAAAAATGAACAAAAATTACAATTGCATTATAGAATATTATCTGTGTCTCTACTGGCTCTCAGTTCTGAAGGTTCTTGCTTCTGCACCCTACTTCTTGTTGCAATTGTTATCTTTGACCAACCAATCTGAATTTTTTGGGCGTTTCTCATTCTATATCATCTAATACGTGAAAATTTTCTTCTTAAATGAACCCCTTAGTAATCCAATTATACAAGACTGGTTTATGAGATGACAGTTCTAGCTGTTGTTTGAATAATTAGTGCAATTGTCATATGCAAGGAATGGGTGACATTCTTTTTCCGTATCTGGAAAAACATCTGTTACATGACAATAATGGGGATAGTCGCAGGCAATAGTATGGATTATGAAGGCGATGATGAACACTATATAGATTGTAAGTTGCTCCCTCAATCCAGTTTAAGTGGAAAACAGGAATAGAGTTCCTGAGAAAAAATGGCTATTAGTTGTATATTATGCTGGTAAAAAATGATTTTCTATAAAGCAAATATGAATCCGTTGGAGTATTGTGCAATTGCAAATTAAATAAATATGCCATGACAAATTGTGATCTATAAGCTGGATGTCATACAAGACCCTAATCTTGTGATAGTTTATACCATGAATATTTTTTGGGATTCCTTCTTTTCTGCGTTATGATTTTAGGTGCTTGTCTTTGATTATCTGTGGCAAGTTTAAGTGGTTGTGTGGATTGGCCAATACTAGTAATTACTACTGCTTGTGTTATAAAGATTCTAATTCTTTGGGAAGATAAGACTTACTAAATACAACTAGAGTTTCTTGAATATCCTGACGTTGTCATTCTCAGGGGTCACTGTTCTGCTGTGTGCGATGGCTATTGCATTGCTTGGGCCTCTTTCCCATGCTCCAACTGTGATGTTAGCTAATTTCATTGCAACTCCTATAGAGTTGAGGTATTTTCTGCTTCTACATCATTGTTGCTGACTTATCTTTATCATGGATGCTGAATATGAGTTTTCAGTTTTTCATTTACACAACTGAAGAGATGTTGTGAAAATGTGATAGTATTTGATGCTGGACAGCTTAATTTTCTTTCACAGTTTTCCAATTTGTTAAAATTTTTAACTGCGGTGTTCAAGCATGTCCACATAGTACCTCACGCACACAAAGTTCATTTTCTTATACTGAATCAATTTTTTGCTTTCAAGTCTTGTGGTACCCTTCTTGCGCTTTGGTGAAGTCATCTCTGGTGGATCTCATTTTCCATTGACATCTGATGCTTTGAAGAAGGTTTTGACTGGCCAAGCTTCACATGATGTCTTAATAAGCATTGCCCATGCAGTAAGTAGCCAAGTTGAGACATTTAAAATCCATTCTTCACTTGCTTTATCTCAAATGTGCATCTTCAGTATTCAAATCTGCTTCCTGTTTCTCTTACTTATTTATTTATTTTATTTGAACCATCCTCTTCTTCCCTCTCCTTATCTAAAGCAAATGCTAGCAAAACCACTGACTTGTCATTTCTTTTATGGTTTACATATCATTGTATGTTGCTACATAATCATTTTGTGTAAACTGCACCTCAGAATCAGGAACTGAATTAATAAATCCAAACAATTTGAAGAATAATATTAGAACTAAATATTTGACCCCTTAAGGAACTGTTGGTGGCAGTGGCAGTGGCAGTGGCAATGCAGAAGATGGCTCTAATATTTTGGATTAAATGGTTGTGTACACGGAAAACGATGGGCGGTTGATGAGTAGACTCAAAGATAGGTCTTTTACGGTTTAAAAACCTGAAGGCGTATAGAGTAACTGTTATAGTTGATACAAATTCTGTTCAGCTGGTGAAGATTTTAAGGAATCAATAAATTGGATGAGATTGCATACCAAATACATTTTTAATATTTCTCTGTTATAGAATGAGGAAGCAATGTGCAACGAGCAAAGAGTTCAGATTTCCATGCAAATTAAAATTGTGCAAGGAGATCAAAAGAGAATGAGGAGACTAGATCTATTAGAAAAATAAGAAAATGGAAATCTCAGGAGCGCAATATTCGTGTAATTTAGCCCTGCTTCTTTGATGTTCTTGTATTTCATCTCTTTTGAAACAAGAAAATTGAACTTTAGGCTGCAACTCGTGTTGCTAGCACAGCGCCTTTATTACCAGATACATGAACATTAGTTTCTGATGCTGAACAAGGCATTATCACAACATAAGAAATACTCCCTTGCTAACAGACAATAAGGTCACTGATTATTCCAATCTGAGTGTATGAGCTTTGTTACTATTATCTTCCTTTCATCATAAAGTTCCTAGTCAAGCACAGAGGCTAAATTACAAGGCTCTTTTGTAGGTACTCAAGCATGATAAAAATTCTTTAGAGATGTCATGACACTACATAAAATCTCTTGTTCCTATTTTCTTTAACATGATTGTCATTAACTCGGATATTTATTCATTCTAATGAACATTCTGGTTAATAATGCATTGACTTTGCAGTTACTGGGATGGCTAGTTGCAGCACCGTTTATTTTGGCGGTACTCAGCATGCTATTTTTTCCATTTTTCAAGGTATTGGTTCGCAAGTTCACCTCTGTTCCATTAAGCCCAAGTAGTAAATCATCCAATTCATTTACAGAAATCAAGCTTAAGGTAAGAGATGTTTGATTAACAATGTATAAGCATCCAATTCCTTTGATCATCATCATCTTCCTCGGAAGGAAAAGCAGCGACTGATTAACATAATTATAATCCATGTACATAAAACTTAAAACAATTTTTTTTTCTGTATATAAATGTTATGTTGTTGTATTCCATTTGATCCTTGTATGTTATTATGAAATTATGATTTCTTCAATATTATCAGAGGCATTTATTTATTTATTTATTTTAGTTAGGTCAGTAATATAACTTATACTCCTAGTTTTTAGGAGGAAAATAAAAATTTTAATAAGACCAATAACATAAACTATTTAAAATTTATATATAATTTTTACAAGTTATAAATTTCAGTGGGTCGCTTGTCCAACTAAATATAAGTTAGCTTCTCACCTGAGGGATACTAGAAGTGGACATCAAAATTTGCATTGCCATAAGGATAAGAATCAATGGCTACACTCATCAACAAATAAATAATTCATTTGTAGTTTAGACTATGACTTGCTATAATATTCTTATAAAAGATATTTATGTTATGTATAATATAAAGTCAATGGCATGATATAGACCGTGTTAAATTTATTAGAGAGAATAAAAAATAAAACCCATGTTGGTTGGATATTTGAATGCTAAGAAAAAAAATAAAAATAAAAAGAAAAAGAAAAAAGAAAACTCATCAAGGTGAATGGAAAATTTAGCCAACAATTGTCCGTAGAATATTAGTGTTTAGGGCTCCAGAGAGTAGATTATGAAACGCTACTCGCTTTAAATATATTAATAAAATACAATACTCTATATAACTTGGTTTAGTTGTTGAAGTGCACTAAATTCCATTTTGGTGATCTCAGAACCGAGTCGTAGAGTTAGCATCTTAAAGAGAGCTTTTAACGTAATCATTCTTCGCCCCGGAAGGGATTGGTATTTCATCTATCTGTTAAACTGGAGGTAAAAAAATGTTAATAAAATAGTTGACAAACACTAATAAAACAGCCAGCGAAAAACTGACAACTGCTAAATGGTTAATTTTACCGAATACGGTAAATATTAGGTATTTAAAACCTAAAATGAGTAGTATTAAAAGGATTTTATTTGAATACGCAAAAATAAACGTATTTTCCATAGTCATGTATCGTGCAAGTGAGCAAATAGCTAATCTACATCTCAATCAATAAAACGATTTTAATCTATAATTAGGTTGCAATTAGATTAAGATTAGGATGGCATGAAAAGACTAATTGGGAAGATGGAAGCATGTTACCTGCCTAATAAAACAATAATATGGATGGACAGCTGGTATGTTGAATTGCAAATATTAATAACTTTTTTTAGCTAAAAGAATATCCTAAAAAATATCCTCTCACACTAAGAAATTAAAAATAGAAAAAATGAAATGAAAAAATAGCAATTTTTTTTATACGGATGTTATTTAATCGGTATCTGTTTTAACGGTCCACAAATTTAATTAATTTCCGTTCGCCTTCGGAGGCAAAGGTGCTTGCCAAGTAATTCATCTTGAAAACCACTCTATGTTCTACTATAAGTAATTATAGTATTAATTTGAAGGGTAGCTCAATAACAAAAACCATTTAAAAGAATTAAGAAATCTATAAAATTACCGGTTGGAGCCTCTCTAGCTAAAATTATACGAAGAACTATACCATACATATAAAGGTAAAATTAGAAAAAAAAAATAATTTGTCCATATCTAACATAGACCAGGCTTATACACGCAATTATGAACCAAATTAATAAAAAATAAATTTAATAAAATGAGAATAATTTTAAAAATTTTTATTTTAATTGGTTTAATCGATAAGTAAGTATATGGATCTAACATAGACCAGGCTTATAACTAATAATAATTATTATTATAAAACTTAATACAAACACATGATTCTTGAGAGCATTAAATTATGGAATGTGGGAAAATAAAATAGAGAGAGACAAATTTGACAAAGGAGGCGTTTGATTAGATAAGGATTAAGTTTGCTACAAATAATCTCCGCATAAAAAATCTTAAAGATATAGACTTTTAACATATTTTATTTAACTAATTAAAACATTTAATTTGTCACCTAAGCTAAGGATTGGAAGCCTATCATTTACATATTAATATTATACCGTGAAAACGATTTTACTTTCCTATCATACAACAAATCTTTGTATTTGACCCTTTCGAATTTTGGTCATCTTTTAAATCATTAATAAATATTACTCTTGGTGATTTATAACTGTTTAAAGAAATTTATGTTTTTATTATTTATACACCAAAATTATTTTGAGTCAATAAATATTTTTTTATTGAAATTATTAGTAAATTTGCTGGACTCGCTATAAAATACTATTCTTTTCGTGTATTCATACTAAAACCATCAAATGAATTATTTTTATATTAAAATATTTTTCGTTGACTGCTTATTAGTATGAGTTATTTCTTCTATTGTATTAAAATCGTCAAATTGAGTTTGTAGTTTAGTGCAACATTCTCTTTTCACGAGATGAGAAATATTAGATTAGTAAATAGTTTTTTCAAAAATAATATTTTTATCAAAATCCCCAGTTTAATTAGTGTAAATCAAATAAATTGAAAATTTTAAAACGAAAATTAAATCGATTTAATTTAAATTGAGATAAATAAATTAAATTTTAAAATTAAAGAGAAGTATGGATAACGCAAATAAAATTGTTATTATAGGTTTAATAAGTGTCATTTCACATTAAATTAATTTCTGAAAATAATAGAGTGTATATATTAATTCGATATAATTCAGGAGTCAAATTATTTTTCCTTTCAAGTTTCAACTATATAGTTATTGCTACCTTTCTTCTTCTTTTTCTTCTGTTCTTTTTCGTTTGCACATGCCAATTTCTTTCAGTTGTTAGTTTTGTCTTCCTTCTTCTTTTACCTACCTTATTTTTCACTTCACCTCCTGAAAGGCTGAAAACGTTTCTTCTATAGTTAGAGATATTTTTCTTAAAATATACCAAGCAGTGAATTATAAATCATTACCTACCTAACCTTAATTTTTCTTACCTGCCTGTACTGATCTTTCTTTCTTTCTTGCAGAACTCAAAGGGTATTTCCATTTCTTTCTTTCTCTCCTTATTCCACAGCTTTTCTTTTTCTTTGATCTAATTTATTCCTTTCATTGCTTCATTCTCTTGGTCCATAGCAGAAGAAAGTTTGGATTTCTTTTTTCCTATTTGGGTTTATTACTATTTTTCTCATTTTCCCATTTTAAAGTTATTTTCTTGTATTTTTCACTTTTTTCTCATCTGGGTCTCCTTCAAAATACTTGCATTGTCTGTCTGATCTTTTTAGTTTCTACAACATTACAAACTGTTGACAGCTGCAGACACTATAAAATTACCTCTCTCTCTTTCTCAATTTGACTTTTTCCATTTGGCATATTCTCTTCAGATCAATTTCTTTTGAAAGTGTCATTTCTGATCTGGGTGTTTTAATAAAACTTGCATATTTCATTTGAGATTTTAATTTTGTGTTCAATAATTTAGTGAGTCCTGTATATTATTGATAATGTCTCATTCCAAATCAGAGCCTCCTAGTTGTTGCTCAACATTGTCTTCTTCTTCAGCTTCTACTGAACTGAAGCTATATCAAGCTTTCATCTTTTCTGTGCCAATTTTCTTCACTTTCATTCTCCTTTTATTGTTCTACTTGTTCTATCTTCGCCGTAGAAGAGTTGATTGGGCCTCTCTTCGAATGCGAGCTAATGTACCAGACAACAACGATATCATTAGAGTAAGATCTTTCATTTTAACAGCTTTTTTTCTGTTAAATTAATGTGATATTTTAATAAATTTTTATGTGTTTGTGTTTATGTTTATATCTTTATTGCTTGTGGTTTAACAGGCTGAATTGGGTTTGAAGAAAGAACTGAGAGAGATGTTACCCATTATTGTATACAAGGAGAGCTTCTCTGTCCGAGAGACACAGTGAGTGGAGTTCCCTTGTTTGATTTATATTTTTTATTTTTAAATTTCTAATCGTTTGCATGCTTATTTGACTATTGATTATTTTATAAGGTGTGTCTATCTATTGGATGTGGGATTTGAATTTCCACGCTTCTTTGCCAGTTTTTATTTCCATCTCCTTTTAAATCAGAATGTATAATTTTTTTTTTCTTTTTTTTTATCAGCATATGGTAATGATTCAAATTACCTGAGCTTTTATTTTTTATTAAAGAAAAGGAAAAGACATTGGATTCCTAGTTGATCATAATTTTTAGAAGAATCAGTTGTATTTCCTTTTTGGATTCCTAGCTGATTATTATGTAGGCTGAATTAGGTTTCCTAGAGACTGGATCCTGTAGATACAAATGTCACTTTGAGTTCTGTTTAAACAAGTGAAACAATCATTAGAGAAAACACTCTAATAATCTTGTAGGGGAGATTCTATAGTATTTATTTTGCTACATTAAACAAAGTAAATAACCAACCTCTGTAAAAGCTAATAAAAGCTAACTTTAACTTGGAGACTTGACTGGCTTGTTGAAGCAGGCAAAATTCTGAACAACTTCTTTATTTTCTTTTTCATCAAAAAATTTGTTATCTGGAATATGCACATACCCCTTTATATTTTTCGATTGTAATATATCATTCTATAGTTGAGAACATTTGCTTGATAGTACTGTAACAATTTAATGTCAATAGACTGTTTATGGCAATCTTACTACTTAGCTTCGAATGATTTTGTTTATTAAGTTTTCTATCGAGTACTATTCATGCTGTGGCATCTCTAATGAAGAATTTCGTCCAGGATTTCTATGGTAGCTTCATCAATGAAATAGAGTTAGGCAAGACAAAAGACAGGAATTTTATCGTTAGGAATAAGTTTTGATTGTTATTGTCAGATTCTGCTGGTTGAGGGATGATATCTTGCACCAACATATCAAAATCTTTCCATATATTACTGCTATTTGAACTAATAAGGACTTCTTTTTAAGCCTGTTAACTGTAAAAAAGTTCCTAAATTTTTTCATTGGTATTATTATTTGCCAGTGTTGTTTCTTTTCTGGAATATTGCAGGAAAAATGATTCTTTGTCCTCGCTCCTAAAAATAAATAACTTCTAATTTTTTATTAGGATCCTATGAGACCATTTTTCATCAGAACCATTATTTATGCGAAGATTATGAAATAGCATATTATTATTAGACAATGCATGGACATCAAGATAGTTTACCCTAATATAATGGCTACCTGTGGGAAAGGATGTATGCCATATGCTTTATATCTATATTACTGAAGTTGGCTGAGACTTGAATAATGGTTAGTTTACATACTATACCCTCCCTTATCCCCTTCCCCACACGCCCCCCATGTGGAAGAGGAGTCACTGCACTTATGCATTTATATCCTACTGACGGCCTACTGAAGTTTGGCTGAGACTTGATAATGGTTAGTTTAACATACTATACCTCCTTATCCTTCCCACACGCCCCCCCCCCCAACACCCAAACATACACATGCGTTGGATCTCAAAACATTTAACCCCCACACACCCCCAACACATACACATGCGTTGGATCTCAAAACATTTATATTTTTTTGGTTATAATTTTTTTTTATTTGCATCATACTTGATCTGATAGATAGTGACAAGTTTATATCAATTGAATAAAAAAATTGATTTGTGGAGTATTTCCTGTGCTGCATGAGGTCTGACTTTGTTTTAAATTAACCCTTGGAAATGTGAGGGCTTCATGACTGTTGAAATCAGTTTTGTATAACCAAAAGAAAACTTTAGGTATTTTAGTTTATGTGAATATTATATCTTGTATATGAATATAATTTTGTGACAGAATCAATGTTCTTTTCTTGAAAAGAAGTTCAAAACCTTACCAAGTTAATCAATGTTGATTAATTCATTTAAATTTCTGAACATAAGACTTGCATGAATTATTTTTATGATAGTTGTTGAACTGTTATTTCATTAAGTTATCATGAAATGACATTGTTCATGCTTCGGTGGTCTATGTTGACCTAGAAGTTGTGGACTTCAACATTAAAATAATGAACTAAGATATATTTTGTTGCATTTAGTAACATAATACCAGACTGCACCTTAGTTCTTTGAATCCTATGGCAAAAATGGAACTAAGTTTTCCTGGACAGGATCTAAATAACCTAAGTTATCACTAAAATCATAGTTAAACATTAGAAGATTGAATCTCATTTTCATTGATTCAGTTTTTCTTTTAGCCAGTTTCTTGATGTCATAAAAAAGCTCAATGCGATACTAAAAGAAGCATAATCCTTGTACAGCTTTGTGGTTAAGCATGGACTATGTTAACAAAAGTGCCAAATTTGTTACAGTACACATACATAATGAATTCTAGGCATAAATATACTATATGACATGCTTGTTTTTTTGGGTTTAAACCTCCAACTTTCTAGACCAAGAGCCATACACTTGACCGCTAGACTACTAGGCCTTTGGCAATTTAACAGATAAATTCATATATTAGGTCATAGAATTGTTCCATTTCTAAGCTTTTATATTATCTAATGATGTGCTTGCTTTATAATTATAGATGCCTGGTATGCTTAGGGGACTACCAAGCGGAGGATAGGCTTCAACAGATGCCAGCTTGTGGTCACACATTTCACATGGAATGCATTGACCGCTGGCTTGCCAATCACAGTACCTGCCCTATCTGCCGTCTTTCCCTCATTGCATCTGCTAAAGTTCAGAGTGAATCGCCAAATGGTGAACAAGTAGAAACTGGTCAGGAATCTTTTGTGGCAGGGAATGGTGGTGAAACATCTGTTCAATCAGGGCCAGAGTCTTCTGAAGAGTCACAATCTAAAATCCCTGAACCAAAGAATGAAGACTTGAGGACTGTCCATAACACTGTTGAGGAAGACAGAAGAAGTCCTGAATGTGCTGATGAGGGGAGAGAATCTGGAAATATGAGAAATGAACCAGAAGAGCATGAGAACAGCAGAAGATTTTCTGGTAAATTGAAATTCCTTTTTCTACCAGGTTTGCTTATTTTCTTTGGCTATTCTATTTTGGGAGATGTTTCCACTCATAATTTTTTATTATTCGACCAATTCGAATTTCACTTTAAATCATGACTGTGGTTCTGGAAATTAAAGCCAGAACTGTTTCTTTATATGCATAATCATATTGGTCCTAATTATGTTAATATGTTTTAACCCCATGTTTGGTATAAATGAATTTGAAGTATAGAATTCATTTACAAATGCTTAGAATTATGTTCATTTTTGTTGAATTCAATGAGATTGAATTTATCAGAAATGAACATTTTTTTTTTTCCGTTTGTACCAACCACGAAAACATGGAATTTTAAATAAATTCTATGAATTTTTGTGGAATTTGTTTATACCAAATAAGCCTAAACTTTTAATCAATATTTATGATAAAGTTTTGGATTCTTATCGCCTATCCAGTCTGCAATGCTGTACAAGAATAGGCCTAAGTTCTTTGTATTTCTAGCAAACAATTAAGTCTTATTCTTAATTGGAATAGTGTGGGCAATCTTCAGTTATTGAAATCCTTCTCTTTATCCCTTGTGCACTTGCAGTGTAATCTCAGACAAGAACCGATACAATGGAGTTGACAATGCCTTCATGAATCTATCCACTATCATGCTCAAAGCTCTCGAAGCAACAAGTTGAGTTGCACAAGACCTGGAAGATGATGTTCAGATTGCAATTGAGGTCCTTCTTTTCTTGAAGAAGAGAAAGTAATCATATGATCAATGACCGACCAGCGTTGCATCGGGTGCTACGAGAGAATCATTCCTTGATGCAGCTTCACGAAGGTATCCTTGCGTTGGAAAGAATAATTGGTGGGTGTGATGAGATAGACAAATGGCATTACATATAGTTGCTATTGTATTGCATTACATATAGTTGCTGTGATATGTTGGTTGTATGTACCTTTGTAAATTGTAATTTAGTTATGAATTGTGCATGTAGTATAAAATTGAACAAGAAGTGATCATGTCTTATGTTTTGACAATTTGGATGTAGTTGGCTCATGTTAACTGATTTTTTTTTTTTTTGAACAAGGCTCATGTTAACTATTGGATCTAAATTCTCCCATGTTTTGTATAATTTGCCGAGTGATGAAGTCATGTTAGATAAATTCAAAGTTGATAGTTGTTTTCTTTTCTTAACAAAAGCGGATTTGGTAGAACAAAATTTGCATGATAAAATTGTGATTTACCTTTTCAATGAGGGAGGCCATTTCTGATACTGGCAGCAAGTGAGTTTCACGTTGAAATAAAAATTAAAGTTCAGCCATTAAAAACTAAGTAAAAAGTTTGATTACCGTTAGTACAGTTTACCCACATTGATATATATATTGATCTATATATATAGGTATATATTAATATATATTATACTATATATTTATATATATATATAATTATATATATATAAGTAGTTGGAACTTTACCATATTGATATTAAATTAAAAAAAAAAAAAAAAAAAAAAACCAATTAGCAGACTAGAATTTGGTTACAATGTCAGTTTACTATAATCAAATGACTATATAATACAAAGTGTAATGAAGAGAATAATGGAATTACTTTATACTGTTAATGAATGTAAAATGTTCTAGATATTTAACGATGACAATTAAAATTAAATTTAGAATTAGTGTGATTAAGATATAATTTATTTTTTAAATGTATTTTTATATATGATAATGAGACATTTGAAAATTTTTATATTTTATTTTTTCAATTTATTATTTATTTGATTTCATTTTGATTATAATTGAAAGTATTTTATTTAGGAGGGAGATAAAAATAAAAAATATATATTTTTTATCAATACTCTTATTTCTTTATGTTTGTATGATTTGATTGAACATATTTTTTACAAATAAATTTTCAAATAGAATAAAACTTTAAATATAAATTTTAAAAACTAAATTGCATACAAATATTCTGATATTTATTTATTTTTTGTTCTTTATATAAAAAAAAATATAATTTCATGATAAAGTGATGTACATGAAAATATTTAATGAATTTTTTTCTTCACTTTCTTTTCTTATAGACGATTATCTAAAATAAAAACTTAATAGTTTTTTTATGACAAAAAATAAAATGTGATACTTTTCTTTTATAATACTTTTAGAAATAATTAGATGGCAATAAAGATGAAAAGAAATTTATAGAATACTAAGATTAATAAATATTTAATTGATCTAATAGTTTATGTGAAATTGATGTTTCTTTTAAACTTCTCTTGCACATAGTTATGTGAAATAATATATATATATAATACAATATAGATAATTCAGGCATTCAATTTTTAATTTTTATCTTCTTTAAATTTTATTTTTTTAAATAAATTTATATAATTAGACATTTGAAATTTTATTTTTATTTTTTAAATTTATTATTTTATTTAATTTTTTTGATTAATAATTTAAAGTATTTTTTATTTAGAAAGGAGAAATTTTTTTATTAAATATTCATTTTTTTTTATGTTGTTATACATTGATATGGAATATATTTTTTTAAGAAATAAATTTTCAAATAGAAATAAATTTTTACAAGTATAATTTTTAAATTATATTAATATAAATATTCTGATATTTAATTTTTTTAGTTCTTTCAATAAAAAAATAATATAATTTCATGATAAAATGGTGTATATGAGAATATTTAATTAATTTTTTTCTTATAGACGATTGTCTAAGATAAAAAAATAGTTACCTAATATTTTTTTATTATAGAAAAGAATATGTGATATTTTTCTTTTATAATATTCTTAGAAATAATCAAGTATGCCAATAAAGGTAAAAAGAATCTTATACAATAATAATAATAATAAATATTTAATTGATCTAATAGTTTATGTGAAATTTGATATTTTTTTTAATCTTCTCCTGAATATATTTATGTGAAATATATATACACACGTTTAATCATTTATTCCATATCAGATACCTTAAAATAAAGATAGAAAGAGAATGATAAATAGTAAGTAGAAAGGAATTGTACAATATACTTTGCCTACTTTGCACTTAGTTGGAGTTATTTAATATGTTCAAAAATATTGTTATTAGATTAATTAATTAAATATTATATTAATTAATGGTCTAAGATTTCTCCAAAAAAAGAGAACTTATATTCTTTTGCAATTTTAGCTATGTTTTTTAATTTTAAGGATATTAAAACTGATATAGATTAGTTTTTAGTTTGCATGGATAAGTTGAAATTTTGTTATTCGATTTTTTTTTTTTTTTTAGTGAAAGGCTTAAATTGACCAACCTAAAAGTGCATATAAAATCAATTGAACTAATTACGTTTTGAACTATATTTAATTTGAGACTATTTTCATTTTGAAAATTTATTTTAATTTTGATTTAATTCGGTGTCTTTTCAAATTAAGGTGCTTGTATATGCTCACCTACCTAAAATTAGTTTTAAAAGTTATCCATCATTTTATTAAGTAAAATCACTTGATTATGAGCAAAATTTCCTTTACAATATTAATATATATGATTTTCTTATTTGGATCAACATGTAAAAATTAAAAATCATTATATATTATTCCAATTTTCTATAAAATAGTTAATCAATTGGTATTTGATCTATTTGGGTCTAAAATGAATTCATATTTTATATATAAATTATATTTTTTTATATTTAATATAAGTAAAAGTTTACTGAGTTTAATTTTTTTTTATTTATATAAATGATTTTTTATTTGAATTAGAATTTTTTTTATAAAATTGATACTTTTAATAATTTTTTTAAATTTAAAATGTACAATTATTAAATCAATGATTTTTTTTTTTTTTTTTTAAAAATAAAATAAAAAATTTTTTTTAAATCTAAGCTCTAGTAGATTTAAACTTGATTAAATAATTTATTTTTAACTATTTATGCATCCACAATAAAAAGATGAAGTTTTAACATTAAAAAGATATACACAATATAAGAGAGAAATTTTAATAAATAGTTAATATTGTATATGAAAATAAACAAATATAAACTAAAAGTATCAGACGAGCAACAGTGCAACGCACGTCGTAAAACAACTCGAATATATTTTTAAATATTTAATTATGTTTTTATTATAATTTAAAACATTCTATTTAGGAAAGAATTAAAAAACAAAAAAGTAAATTCTTTTATAATGTTATTATTTTCTTTATGTTTGTATAATTGATTGGATATATTTTTTAAAAAATAATTTTTAATAGATATATATAATTAAGCTTTTAAAATTTAAATTTTTATTTTTTAAATTTATATGTGTGTGTGAAAGAATGAATGAGTTGAAATTTTTAATTTTAAATATATGATTAATAAGTTTTGTATCTATATATTTTAAAACGTATTTATTAGGTAATATTTAGATTATACATATACAATTATAATAAATTTTATATAAATAACTATATAATAAAAATCTAAATGATATAAAATAAAAATTATAATCAATATTTAATATAAAAAAATGAGTATAAATAATAAGTAAAAGTAAGTAATGACATAAAGAATTGAACGAGTACTAATAATAAATATAATCAACATGCAACACACGTTATAAAAAAACTAGTGGTATGTAAATATAAACATGTAAATTATTAATGAAATGCATTTATAAAATAATTTATATTTTGATCCTATCTATAATCTATGATATTAATATTAATATATATAAAAGTGAGGATAATGAGGGAACATTGAGATTTGTAATAACCCTACTAAATTCATATATTAATAAAAATATCTTAAAGATTTCAATCTAGTTGAAAAAAATAAAGGTAATATTATTTTTTATTTAAATTAAAATTCTATTGATTAAAAAATAAAATAAAAAACAATTAAAACATATTTAATAGTGTAAATTTATTTTTATTGTTCTTTTATACACAAATATTTTTCAATTAAATTAATAATTTGTGTAAGATAAGTGATTTAAAAGTAAACAAAGTTTTGAATGGACTATTTTAATAAACTATATTTTATTAAAAAAAAAAAATGCAATCTTAGGATGGTTTTGATAGTTGACACTCGAGAGATGTTAAATTCAAAACCTTATGGAGTTGAATTAATGTTAGAAAAAATATTTCTAACTTTTGAATTATATAAATTTATTTATTGAGCGTATATTTTTTAATTATATATTATATTGTATCTATGTAATTTTTATTCAAAAGTAAAAATTGAAAGCCATTTAATTTCAAATAAAACAAGAAAAACAAAAAAGGGTAAGAAAGTAATTATGTGAGAAGTTGAACTAGGAAGAAAGCAAAGTGATTGATTGGAGGGTCAAACGGTCAACCCCACTACGGTAGAAAATTAGAAAATCCATACTAATACTAACTGTACCCTCTGCATAACATAAAATCACTCTTCTTTATTTTTAGTGTTTTTGACAATTCGTATTCAAAGAAACTTTCTTCCTCTTTCTCTCTCTGCGGACCTAAGTTTCCTCTATTTTCAAGCCTCTGAGAATACTTCACAGGTAATTATTCATTCCTTCCAGGAAGTTATCTTATGATCTGCTCGAATTTTCACTTTTTGTTTAGTTTACGCTCTCTTTGCATGTGTTTTGATCTTTTCTCTAGATTTCTTGGCTTCCAAACAGTTTTCATTGTCATTCTTTATTTTGACATATACTTCGTGTTGGTTAGCTGGATCTTTAACTTTATTTGATAATTTTTATTGGGATTTCTCAGAATTTTGAATTTGTTTTGGAGTTTCAGTTTGCGAGTCTGTTTTTGTTTATATGCAGATTGTATTTTTGGATAATGTTGGCTGCTATGCTTTTCATGGAAAACCCTAAAATTTGAGTGCATTTTATAGTTTATTGACCTTAAATGAGATTTTAATTTATGGGTTTGCTTCCAATCTTGACAGATTACGAATTTGTAATATGATGGTCGCGTTGCATTCAAGTACAATTTAGCTCTGCTTGCTAATTTTGGTGGGGGTCTGAGAAAGGAATGAGGGACTTTTTTCTTGACTTTCAATACTTAGCTGAAGGACTCTCTTGGTATTTATTGGAGGCTTTTGACTTTGTTGCTGATGAATTTCTTGCGTTATGTTTGATTTTTGCCACTTCCATTGAGGAATTTATTGGGTTTCTATTCTTCCAAATTGTAGTCTTTTAGATTCTTGGTAATGCTCATTGATTGAATTTGGAAATTTGAGTTTATTGATGGACTGTAGAAACAAGGGGTAACTCAGGTTTGAAAACTTCTGGAAACTAGTCTTAGAAAGATGGGTTCAATTCAAAACACTGTTCATTATTGTAGTGTATCTAGAGCAAATCGAACATTGTATGTATATAATGGGGGGGATCGTGAAATCGAGAATTTGGCGGCATTGTCATTGGAAAGGACTCCTGCATATCACAAGTGGTATTTTGAGACAATTGGCAAGAGGACTTTTGGGTTTTTGATAGAAGATGGCTATGTTTATTTCACAATTGTTGATGAAGGTCTTGGAAACCCAGCTGTCCTTCAGTTTCTAGAGCATGTGAGAGATGAATTTAAGAAGGCGGCTAGAAACGGTTCAAGAGGAAGTTTTTCAGGTTTGAGCTCTATCAATGTACAAGAACAGCTGGTGCCTATTATTCGCCGTTTGATAACTTCATTGGAACATGTATCTCAAAATGGGAATGATTGGAATGCCAAGACTTCCTCATCTGACAATTCCTTCCTCTCTCCATCGCCAAGTGATGCAAATGGACAAATTGAAGTTCTTACCTCCACTAAAGCTCCTTTGTTGGGGAAATCTAACAAGCAAGAGAAGAAGAAGTCAAAGGATCATGTAATTGTAATGAGGGATATCGAGTTGGAGGAGCATAGAAAATCCTCTGATAGAGGAGTTAAAGTTGACTCAACTTCATTGGATTCAAGTAATCAAGTTGGAGTAGCTTCTCCAATTTCATTGCAAAAGGACTTAGGTTCAATGAGGATTAGGTCGAGCTCTCAAAACATTCGAAAAAAGTGGTGGCGCCAAGTAAGGATTGTTCTTGCAATTGATGCTGCTGTTTGCTTGATACTATTCATAATTTGGGTGTCAATTTGTGGAGGTTTTGGATGCACTCGTTGATCCTAAAATTGGAAACTTGATAGAGTGCCTATAAACGAGTATATAAGAATCAATTTTCCCTCTGTTAATCAATGGATGATATATCAACATCAACCTCACGAGTTAATTTAAAATTCTGCTACAGAGGTATGTGCTTGAAATTAGACAGTGGAAACATATTAACAGATTGTCCATATAGTTCAATAGCTTTTCTGGTATATACATGAGAATTTTATATGTTTATCTAGATATTCGTTGGAGTGCTACTATGCTGCTTCTTGTGTTTATGCTATATTTCTAGTTATAGATACGTTATCAAAAGTGGTGTATCTAAACATTTTTAATACAAGCCTCTTCTTTTTCATGTATAAAAGTTATTTATTGAAACATAATTTGTGAACATTTTCTTCTGCTTACTGCATCCTTGACGTGGAACCCAAAGGAAATGATTTCCTAGAACCCATAATCCAGTGGATCAGATCAAAGATCAAGATAAATTCCTCTCTATGGCACCCCACGTTTATAAGGAAACGGAAACACCAATAATCGAGTAAAGGTCTCTATGACATCCCATGTTTATAAAAAAACGGAAACACCAATAATCTCCAAGAGAAACAGATAAATTCCCTCTCAATATTGGCAACCCCGACGTTGTATAAAGGAAATCCGGACAGACAGCCAATAATGCCGACTTGGGTAAAGGTCCTCGTATTTAATCATTCCCCATCAGTTTGATAAAAAACGGAAACACCACGCTAAATCGTAGAAAAGGAGAATTAGATGAACGCACCTTAGTAACGAAGTTGATTTAAGTTAGCCTAATTCTTTTGCGATACAAATTAGACGGAATAACAATTTTGTGCGTCGAGCGAATTCATCTTTAAGTTATAAAAATGTACATGCAGACAACCCATGGATACAATTTTGTATTTAATCGTGATCAAAACAGTGGTGTTTCTACAAAGGAAGAAAGCCAGAAAGGTCTTCATTACTAAAAAAAGCCATAAAACGATATTGTGGTATCGCTCTTATTGGAAGTTACGACCGCATTAACCACAAGAAGGCTTCCTGGTTACCCTATTAAATCAAAAGGCGTCCATTTACAAATGTAAACCCAAAATGGGCTAAGCCAAATAAAGCACTTTAAGGCGCATTTTATGACAACGTTCCAAGTGGACCGGCTGTCTACTCGTCTACACCTCTGCCAACCCCCCTGGCATTGCTTCCTGCAGCTATTCCCTGTGGCGTACCAAAGGATGTAGACTTCCATATGGCACCCCACGTTTATAAGGAAACGGAAACACCAATAATCGAGTAAAGGTCTCTATGACATCCCATGTTTATAAAAAAACGGAAACACCAATAATCGAGAAAGAGAATTAGATAAACGCTATAACGAATTGATAAGTTTACCTAATTCTTGATACAATTAGAGGAAAACAATTTCTCACAATCACTCTAAGTAAAATGACATGCAAACCATGAACAATTTTGTATTTTAATTTGATCAAAAGTTGTGTTTACAAAGAAAACAAAAGGTTTTTATACTAAAAACTAAACATAATTGGGCTATCCTATGGAATAGACCCATTAACAAAAGGCTTGGTACCCATTAACAAAAGGCTCATACAAAGATAACAAAATGGGCTAAGCCAAATAAAGCATTAAGGCATATGACACGTCCAAGTGAGGCCCTAGCACCCCCTGGGCATGCTTCCTAGCATCCCTGTGCTACCAAGAGGTAGACTCCAGCACTCCCTGGGCGTGCTACTCAATTAGTACATGCCTCCAACAATGTAAGAAGCCTAGACGTGCCTTCAAGTCCTACACAACACTTGTTAAACACTTGGTCATGAAGCTCTTGTGAAACTTGGTCATGAACAAATGAGGACATAACTGCCCCATAGTGCTTGGCACGGCTTTGTGTAATTGGCCCACTAGGAAGTACCAATGGATCTCTTATGTTGTTCTCCATGCTTCCATTGGTGAGTGGTGGTGGATCCGTATCAATCTTACTTTCTTTGTGTTTTCTAACCATTTCTTTTTGACTGATTATGTGAGATAGCATTTGCATCATTAGTTTAGTCTGTATTCGAAGAATTAAATTTGGAAAGAGAAAGCAAAATCGAAGACAGGATTTAGAAATGTATGAACTTGAAGTTCACAAATGCTATATTTGGATAGAATGATTGTTTTTTGATTTAGTATTAGTTTCTAAATTCATTGAATGTGGCAAACTCTTTTGAAGTAGATTTAATACACTCAAATAGGGTATTTCATATTCATAAAGCTAAATCAAGTTCATGATTGTCATCAATCAAGGAAAATGTGTGCATTATCAAATTCAAATTTCGCATTTCAATTTTTCTGTCCAAACGCAATATAAAGGAGCATGTGGATTGTATGGAGAGTATAATAAAATCTCATGGAAATGAATAATACATATATGTTCATTTTGTGGACATTTGATGATCAAGTTACACCCATGTATGTCTTCTCTCTTTGTAATGGATTGATAACTATAATGTTTTGAGATCGAGTTGCAGACCTGTTAAAACTTTTGGAATATGAATTGGTATAATTTTGTGAGAAATAGGCAAATGTTCATTTCCCAAAGCATGGTATATTAGGGATTGACTTGTTCATACATGATACAAGGATAGAGGACTCGGATAGAAGGTTGAATGTGCAAGGCAGAACTTGCATTAGTCACGAGTCTGTACAACTTGTGGCCAGCAATTTCTCTTCTTTGGATCTTTGATTTTTTTTTTTTTTTTAATTTTAAATTTTGTGAGTTGAAAGGTCTCGGATTCAGATTTAAAAAGTTTAGGTAGAAAATCTCCAATATCAAAAACCGCTTTTTTTTTCCCCTATTGGTGATGCTGGGCAGTATAAGAGGTACAAAGTATGAAGGGATTTGGATCTAATAGAATGTATTGTCGGGGCGTTTTCTACGTTGCCTTGATGGAAAATCAAAACGATCAAATTTTTATAGTAAATTAAAAATTTTAAATACATAATAATTTATAATAATTTAAAATATTTCATAATATTCTGTAAAAAATAATTTTTACAAAATAATAAATATTTTCACTAATATTTTGTAAAAAGATGGATGTTTATTGTGAAAAGTGATAATTTATAAATCATAAATATGATTGTAAATGTATTATAATATTTTTAAATATCTTGTAGAAAATGACTATTTCTTGTAAAGTTGGACTACAAAATAATAGCTATGATTACTAATATTTTGTAATAATTCTCAATATTTTATACAAAGTTGTTTTTTTTTTTTTTTGAAGTTGTCAGATTACACAATAATAGTTTCAATTGCAATATTTTGTAATACTTCTTGACAAATTCTACAAAATGATTTTTTTTTTTTTTACCAAATTACAAAATAATAAGTAAGTTATTAATATTTTATAATTCTTTCTAATAAGTCAAGTTTTATAATACTTTAAATCTCAAAAAAAAAAAAAAGTTTTATAATACTTTATAATAAGTCAAGTTTTTAATATTTTGTAAGTGGTAATTTTATATAACTCAAGGCAAAAGTAAGGAAATTTTCCTTACTTTTCATTGAAGGTACTGTAGCAAGCTCCTATTGTCGAATATCAGTCTTCTATTTGATGGGATTTATTTATCCAAATTGGATCCATGGTCCCACTCATGGATTAAATCAATAAAAATAAAATTTTTGTTGAAATGAAGGTATTTGTAATTATAAACAGAGAAAAAAAAAAGAGAATATATGATCAATTTTTAAAAAAATTATATTTTCATCATATGTAAGGCTATAGATCCGGTGTATATAAATATTTTTCCCAGTTTGATAGCACCTAAAGTGCAATATGATGATTCAAAAGAATGAACTCCAAATTGTACTCTTTCGTTAGTTGGTCAAACTGTTTTTTTTTTTTTTTTTTTGAATGATACTCCAAAAGTTGGAGCTCTTTCGTTATTAGTTGTCAACTGTTTTTTGTTTTTTTTTCGGACAATGTAAATTTTTTTTTTTTTTTTTTTTTCGAAATGTAATTCATTAATAATAATATCAAGAATTACAAATAAGTATATAAATCAAATACAAAACTTTACTATTAGTAGTTAATAGAGTTCGCTGATCTTTTAATAAAACAAAGGAATTTATATTCTTTTGAACAATGAAATGAAAATTAAAAAAACTATTAGATCTTTCTACTTGGAGTTGATCTTGACAAAAGATATAAATCTTCATAGCAGCAACTGGTCCGTTAATTGATTTTGATGTCAAAATAATAACTCCTTTATATCTTCTATAACTAGATTGTTTTTCCAATAACTTACAATATATGACGAATACATATGAGTTTCCGCTACTATGCTACAATAGCACCAATGAAGGAATATGCTGTATTAATAGGCTCCATCGATCAAAGATCCACAACTTTAAATCAAGATCTAAAGTCTCGAATCAAATAAAATCAAATATTATAGTTTTATTTAGTTATTAACCCTCATAAAGAAGGGACTATCCTCACAAAGAAGCGACAAAAAAAACTCCAAATATAGAGACAACCAATAATAACATAATAAAAAAGACAAATCCGTTATATAAAAAACATATTTGAGTTTATTAAAGTAGAATAAAATTAAAAGCAAAAGAAAGTGAAACGAAAGAAATAGTAGAAAGTATAAGATAGGGGCTACCACCGATCAATATCGGCGGTCCCAAACTATAACTAGAGTTAGAAAATTAGAGAGAAAATAGAAAAATAGAGCTCTCAGCATCCTACGTAAAATTGATCAAAATATTATTATTTGTAAGAAAACTTGGAATTTCCAAGATTGCCTTTTATTAATTGGTCAAACTATAATTATTTATAAGAAAACTTGGAATTTCCAAGATTGCCTTTTATTAATTGGTCAAACTATAATTATTTATAAGAAAACTTGGAATTTCCAAGATTGCCTTTTATTAATTGGTCAAACTATAATTATTTATAAGAAAACTTGGAATTTCCAAGATTGCCTTTTATTAATTGGTCAAACTATAATTATTTATAAGAAAACTTGGAATTTCCAAGATTGCCTTTTATTAATTGGTCAAACTATAATTATTTATAAGAAAACTTGGAATTTTAAACTGTATAATTGGTCATCAATTTCAGGACTGTCACGGGCTAAAACCTATAAAAATATACTAAGAAAACTTGGAATTTCCAAGATTGCCTTTTATTAATTGGTCAAACTATAATTATTTATAAGAAAACTTGGAATTTCCAAGATTGCCTTTTATTAATTGGTCAAACTATAATTATTTATAAGAAAACTTGGAATTTCCAAGATTGCCTTTTATTAATTGGTCAAACTATAATTATTTATAAGAAAACTTGGAATTTCCA